GTTAGAGAAGGAAGAAAGGGGAGAAAGAGGAAGTGAAAAGGGAGGGAAGGAAGGGAAGAGGAAGAGAAGGAAGGAAGGAGAGAAGAAAAGAAAAAAGGGAAGGAAGGAAGGAAGGAAGGAAGGAAGGAAGGAAGGAAGGAAGGAAGGAAGGAAGGGAAAGAAGGAGAGAGAGGAAGAGAGAGGGAGAGGGAGGAAGGGAAGGTTGGCCAAGAAAGAGGAAGGGAAGCAACGAGTGGCGAGTACAGCTAGTAGGTATATAAATCAAACATTTACTGATAATAAAACAGATAAATATATTAAAACCATTCTTTGGTAGAAATATAATTTTACCATTTATTAAAGATGAAAAAAAATTGCATGCTAATGAGATAGATGTGTTTGCTTATTTTTACATAAAGAATTACATCTTGACTGAATACATGATGCTACAGGCCAACATTTTTCAAACCTGGCTTGCAGCCTCAAGTGGCAGAATACACTCTGCTGGCTCTCCCCTTTTTCCTGTATTGGAGAACCATAACGGGGTGGTTTGGGGGTCAATTCCTCCAACTTTAAAATTCCAGGTTACAGAGTGGGCCATGTGCCTGAAACAGACCTGTACCCACCTTCCTCTTGTTCCCATCATGAACTGTTCACATACATGCATGCAATCTTTTCCTCCCACTTAAACAAATTACTACTACTACTACTACTACTACTCTGGCAAAAAGGTGGTCCCAGTGGTGCCTAAAGACCTTGGCCTGCACTTAAACACAATCGACACTGACAAAATTACCATCTGCCAGCTGCAGAAGGCCACCTTACTGGGATCTGCACACATTATTTGCCGATACATCACACAGACCTAGATACTTGGGAAGTGTCCAACGTGTGCTCCAATACAACAGCCAGCAGAGTGAACTTGTCTGCTGTGAACTCATCTTGTTGTGTTTAATAATAATAATAATAATAATAATAATAATAATAATAATTGTTTCTTACCACTCTCTCCTCGTGGCTGGAGGTGGGTTACAACTTAGCTAAAAACACGTAATCATCTTAAATAGTCTCTAAAACACACATTTTAAAACTTATACAAAGAACAAAGATTTAAACACAATACATGAGTTTAAAATTCATGATTAAAATTGACTGAGTAGGCCTGCTGGAAGAGATAGGTCTCCAGATGTATTTTAATTTCTGACAACTCATTTAGCTGTCAGATCTCTTCCAGCAGATCCTTCCATAGACTTTGAGGGGCCAATGAAAAGGTCATCTGAGTGACAGTTGGCAGTCAAGTTCTGGCTGGTTGGAGTAGCCACCCCCTAGAGGACCTCAGTGTTTGGGGTGGATTGTACAGGAGAAGGTGATCCTGTAGGTAACTGGGAACCAAATAAGCAGTATTAACCTTCCCTCCCTGAACATGTTGCAGGCAAATTCTTTTTGAACTTTTAATGGCAGATGACGGATGTTTTTGATTTCAATTAAGTGTGGTTTATGAACCCAACCTAATTTGATGGAGAGTATTTCTGAAACTAAAAAGATAGCAAGGCTATAAAAATGTCAGCAAGAGCCACTAGCTACAAATTTTTGTCACCTCCAAATTCATTTATGGGAGTCCCAAATGGGGTTGTGACCCACAATTTCAGAAGTTTTGCTCTAACTTATGAGTACTGGGAGAAACTCTTCCTCTACTTTGCAGTCTCCTACTCAGTGCAAGATACAATTGCCTCAAATGAAATCAAGCGAACCTTTTACAAAATGGTGGCCTCGTTGCTGTAGAACCTACATGAGCAGTATGTATTCTATCCAAATTGAGAAGGGGAGATGGAACAAAGGAGACACACAATTGCCATATTTTGCTTCCACCTATTTTGATTACAAGAGGAGGAGGAAGCCCTAATGCTCCTTCGCCCCCACACTGTGGCTGCAGCTGAAGCATTAAATAAAATCCACTTTTGTAATTGGATTTTTAGATTCTATTAAAAGACTGGCAAAACTGTCCTATATTGAGTTATTTAGAGGCAAGGCTGAACCAATTTTAAAACATAAAAGCCCAGATTTCAAAATGCATGCTGTAACTTAACAATGTAAATTTTTATTTCTACCTTGAAAAAAGGTTTCAATTGTGAGGTATCTGTTCCGCATTTAATTGAATTAGACAATGTTCAGCTCAAAATATATACAACCAATTATTTCCATCAGGATGTTAAGTTTGCAAGCACTTAAGGTATTTTTGATCTGATTTACCTCATTATTAAGAAACATACATCACTCAAGAATTTTAATCAGACATTTTAAGGGAATAGGCTAAAACAACAATATGCAGAGTAACATCAGAATGGGTAAAGATTGTACTATATAAAGCTCAGAGAGGAGGTAGACTCAGAACATATTTACATGAGTCATATAACCCAGATAAGATCTGACCACGTGGCATCCCCATGATACACAAGCCCCTCTTCCCCTTAATGCAGAAGGCAGCTAAACGTGGTTTTGCCCTACATTAGCCAAAGTCAAGGAACACTCTATAGCAGTGGTTCCCAACCTTTTTTTGACCAGGGACCACTTGACCAGGGACCACTCTCCAACATTAGTACCAAAAGGGTTAAGAAACAGTTTTTGGCCAACTTTATATTTGGTTTGGGGTGCTGATTCAGAAAATTGCACTGGATAGACCACAGCAGTTCTAGTTTCTGATACAGAACATATGCCATGGTCAGCAATAGGGAAGGAATGGGAGGTGGCACAAAAGGAGCAGAAATAAAATAAAATAAATAAATAAAGAGGAAGGAGGCTCGCAGACCAGATTTCCATCTTCTTGGCCCACTGGTGATTCGCAGCCCACAGGTTAAGAACCACTGCTCTATAGCTTCCACAAAGTTAGTCAGTTCTGAATCAGAAGCAGCTGATTACACAGCCACCCTGCTTTCTGGGCACTGTGCCATAGGGGCAGGTAGATGGCACCTACCTTAGTGGCCCTGCTGTCATTGCAGCAGCATCCATGGAGCTTGAAAGAGTTTCTGCCCATCCTGGGGCATTATTGCTGGCATTGGAAAGAGTGCTAGAAAGGGTGCTAGCATGACTCAGAGAAGTGAGATGTCCTCCTCCTTTTCCTCTTTCCTCTTTCAGTTGCATGGGTGCCTTTGCAAACATCAGCAAAGCACCTAGGACAGCCAGGAGTTCTTTCAAGGTTTTTGGCCATCCAGCAGGGTTGAAACAGCTTCAGCCCTGTTGGACGGTCAAGATATCAACCCACTGCCACAGCAGGACTGAAGCACGCATTGGAGCCACCCCTGGTGCGGAGTACTGCATACAGCATGCTGTACCAGCTCCCAATTTTCCTACATGTATAGATGCACCCTTCTTCTACAAAAGCTTATGCTACCAACTTCATTCTCTCAGTAAAAGATCCCTTTGCATATTAATAAGGTAACACGTGTGGCCAATATAGAGTTAAGAGTTCCTATTGTTTATTATAATTAAAAATATTCAACTGCATAAATGTCAATACGTTAACTTATTATTCTCTCTCATCTTTAAAACGTTAACTGGAACTAATTTGATTTTTCCAGATTTGCAAATTTTATAATGGAATGTAATCCTGAGGGATTTCACAACAGCTGGATGAATTGTGTTATTCTAATTTCAACTACCCAAGGGTTCAAAAAGCTGCTTTAGTTTAAGACAATCATTTTCTCATTTCCAGAAATATGATAACACTGAATATCAATGCATTGTCCTGAAACTATTTTCATAAAACACATACTTTATTCATTAAAAACTAAACTATTGTTACACTCCTGGTGATCGGAAACCTAACCAAGGTGGACTGCATATGGTATTTACTGCACCAGATAGCATACTGTCTTAATAAAACCCAAATACATCTATTCTTTTTACAAATCATTTTAGAAATAGGGCATCCTAATACCACATTTTTAATTATTTATGACTGTGTGGATTTAAAATGCATTTTCTAATGGTGCACTGCTGAGTATTTTAAAGAGAAAAACAGAGTTATGGGAAATCTTGAAAAAAATTAAACAATATTCCTTTAATTCAAACTGGAAACCAGTTGTCTGAATGCAGTGTGAAAAACCAGAATGTTGCAGTCCACAACTAAGTAACATTCTATTTTATCCACAGAAGCTTTTTTACTGCAAGTCGTATCCATTTCTGTGGGATTTGTTCCACAAAGGAAACTCCTGATCTGAGTACATGGATGACATGTCTAATTTATAAATAGGTAGCTCTCACACTAAGAGGCATATGAATTCTATTAAAGCCCCATATAATTTCACTCTAGGCTGTTTGAAGGACCACATTCTTAAGAGAAATTTGGAAGTGGTCACATTCTTTAGAATGCTTGATATTGATGCAACAGACGACTTCATCAATAAATATTAACAAGCTCTAAATTCTCTACCTGAGGAAAGCTAGGATGACCACCTCCTTTTCACAAACCTGAACACACTTTTTATTCAAACACAATGTTGGGTAACTCACTGTATTTGCTGCAGCAGGGGCTTTTAACAATTTGATTCCTTCATTTCCATTTATTGGTGTATTTTTAGTTTGTGTGTCTTAATTTTATGATTTTATCCTTATCATATTTTATCTATTAAATTTTAATTGCAAGTGTCATTTTTGAGAGAAAGGCAGGATATCAATTTAATAAATATATACACAAAGTAAGTATGTTAAAGAAAAATGCACATGCAAATAATTAAGCTGCCGGAAGAAACATTAAACCAGCTCCTTCATAAAGAACAAGGCTTACTGTCCTGTTATTATATAATTATAATTATGATGCACTTTCTGTCTTTAGTCAATAAGTGAAAGTAACTAATACAAGAATGGAACAATCAGACTGGCAGAATATCCCACTTCCTATATTGTCTTTGCTTAGCTCCAAGTGAGTGGTCGGTGTGGGAGACTGAGACAACAGTGTAGTTGGGCAGTTATTATCCTTTAAATTCACTAATGTAAGCCAGAATTATAAGACTGAAGAAAATTACCTTCATTTTCTCTACTACTGAAATAACGTTCTGATGGTGTTTCAGAAAGAAGTAGCACAAACTTTTCAATTAACTCTGCCAAATCTGCAAATGAGACAAAAATGATTAGAGCAGGAGGACCACAAAAGAAACTTCAGAAATATATCAGCAGCAAAGATGAAGCATACAGGCGGCTTAAGCAATCTAAACTCTTCCATGTTTATTCAAACCTGCATGATAAAAAAAACAATTCAAAACATGAACACTATTTTTATATTCATAACAACACGCTCAGTTTAAATTAAAATTTTAATGGCTTCACTGACAATCTATTCAGGTTAAACAGAAAAGGAATTATTTGTTATGTTTATATCATCTACAGATTGCTTCAAAAACAGCTAGTTTCAACATAAGAAAATTAGCTGAAATGTATTTGTACTGTCTCTATTTGTCTGTACAGGGGTACTGGAGAGGAAAGTGAGGCCTTTATTTCAAACTAAAAGCCAATACACTTTATGATTTCTGTCCTTCTTTACAATGAAGAAGCGTCAGGATAGTTATCTGCATCTTTCCACACCATCAGCAAACTTTCCATGTTGTCCCTGAGGTTTTTCAGGGGCAGGTGGCCTCATTTAAATGTGACAAGAAAAGAAATGAGATAATAGGTATGATCATCTTATATACAGTATAGACAATACTTTGTTTCTTTCAAGTGTATGATAAACTATCCAAGTCCAATATAAACTGCCAGCAGTCTTTTCCACCTAATGGGATTGGTCTCTGTGCCTCACAATGGCTATTAAGCACAAATGTCCCACAAGGAAAAGACAAGAAGAAGCAACATGTCATTATCACAAAAGTTTAATTAATCTACTGTGGATTGTAGATGCTCTTAATGACCTGGGATAAACCTGCAAGGAGTTCTATTGTCTAAAGAACCAATTAAAGATGTAATTGATTGTTGATTGATTGCTGTCAATCCCCGCACATCCAATAAACAAATTTAATCCAGGGATATTTCTTGGCCACAAACAGGAAACAGCAATCTGGTCTGTCATAAGAAATGTCATCCCCTACCACAGTTTTCTTAGGTAAAAGTCTGAAGAAAAGGAACTAAATGTGCTAATACTTTAATTAATGCATCTCTATGTGCTACAGATTTCTTGAGAAGCATGATATTTTTAGATCTGGTATCTTCAACATTTTTAAAACTCTAATAAAGTCTCTCTTTAACTTCACAATGGAACTCAGTGAACTGCCTCATGAGCTGATGTATTTTAATATGTTTATAATAAGAACATTAACTATTTCAAGTAAGATCTTCAGACCTTTTAAAATCTTGCTTAAAATCTTCAATATTTTGGGCCAAACGTTTCCAGACTTGGTTATATATATATTTAATTATAAATTTGTGACAAGCAAAGTATATCACCATTCTCACATCAGTATTAACAAAACATCAATATCATTGAATTTTTAAATTTTAATTTAATTTATTGTTACTACAGAACAATAACAATAAATAATAAGCACTTCCCTTTGGATAATTGATATAGTTTATTTAAAAGTACAGCATCCTCCCAGCCTCATTTTTTAAAAGAAATAGCAAGATGTTGTGGGTCTAAAGTTGATATCTAAATAAATAATTATTACATAAATCCATACATATTTTACATCCCATAGTATATGATGACATAAATTAAATAAAATAGAATGATAGAATGAGAGCTATAGTTACAAAAACAGATGGTGTGAACACTAAACACATTTTGAACATAATCCTAAATACACTTAAACATTTTTAGAGAAGTAGCAGGCTTAAAATATTATCGAACTAAAATGCATCAAAGTGCATTTTAAACACTCTTATATTTCAAGTTACTTAGATTAATCTGGCAATCTTCCATTTCATTTCATTTCATTTAATAGCTTTTTGATGCAAACATAATCCTTACACCATGTGTTTTCCCAAAAAAATGTTTTCTTCCCTACATAAACATATGTTACAAGAAGTATGGAGTTCCCAGTTTCATTAATGCAGGAGGCAGAAATGGGTTTGCAGAAGAGTCCAAGTGGATGGCAAGGAACTGTATAATTTGCTTTCAAACAAATAGATCGGTCTGACTCAAGGGAAAAGAAGATCACTTAAACCAAATGTTTCCCCAACTTAAAGTCTGTATTCATATAATCTTCAAGTCTGTATTCACATAATCATGACAAACACCAGTTTTAAAACATAGGGATGTCAAGATAAACTATATACCCCCTAATTTCAACATCCACAAGAATCAAAAGATTTTTAAGCTTTAGCATATTTTAGTACAGCACACTAGTCAAAGTGTGCTTTCCGTTTTGTCATTCTATAATCTCCAAGATTGCTACAGGTAGTTATTAATACAATATAGTTTTAATATGTTATACTTACTGGTTCCACTCACAACATTAGGTTTGCTTTCCATGATTTCACAAAACTGTCTTTGAACATTTTCAATCCATCCCAAGTATTTATCTGGATTTTTTAAAGCAGATAAAAGCTTGGTAGCATCATCATCTAAAAGGAAAAGGAAAAATATTGTTTAAAAACCTATAAACTTGTTTTATACAAATATCGCAACACTGATAAATAGGTTCCTACAAAATCTATTTTGCCTAGTTAAATTTCTAAAACAGAACATATGAAAAAGAAAAGCTTTCCAGGCCAATTTGAATAATTGTCAGCAGTGAAACTTACTTCCATATAAGAACATTGACCTTTTATAGAATACTACCAAGTTTACTATTCACATACTGCTAATCATCTTCAGTTCTTCAAATTTTCTATCACTCCCTCAACACAGTTAACATGATAACTCATGACTGTTCAGTCCCCAATGGGCTATATGGGGAATGATGTCATTTTAATCACCTTAGCAGTTTCCCCACAATTCTGGTAATTATGCAAAGCTTGGGAATTCACAAATGGAATACTTGTTTCATGTTATTCATTGGATTTATCTCAGATAAAGTTTCTTTGCACCCAAGCCACTGAAATATTAAAGGAAGTGGTGTTAAAATATATAATTAGGTGCTGGAACTCACTGTAATTTTTTTCTTTCTTGAAAATGCAGAGAAATAATCCACATTATGTAGGACAAAAAACTGAGGAACAAGAAGAGGGAAAAAGTAAGTTCAGTAGATGAGATGACTAGCAGTTTGATCGTTAAAAGGTAGAGCCACATCACAAAACTGCCATGTTGTCAAGGCATTCACGCTCTTTTCAAATGCCAAACTGCTGATCTTCTCAACTAATGCGCTCATTTTCTTCCCCTTTCTTTCTTAGATCTTTATTCTATGTGATGTGTATTGTTTCCCTCCACTATTCAGATAATATTTCATTTCTTGGTAATACTAAATGTTTAAACATAAAAAGATCAAAGAATTGTAAATTTAGATTTATGAATTGCTAAAATTGTTTTTATTGTTTCCCATAACATTTTATCATAGTTTCTGCAAGCAAGTTGTAACTGGCCACATTTCAACCCTATAAGGCATTCAGACATACTTTTCTTAATTGCAAATATTTCTAAAGATGAATTATTTTTCTCTTATCCTCCTTCGACTTCTTGCTTGTGCTATTATGTGGCTTGTTTTCTACCCTTCAATTTGCCTAGTTTCACCATAATTGATAAAGATGCACAGTTAAAATGTGTGTAGTCAAACTTTTAAAACTCAATTCCCTCAAGATACTTACTATTCTTGTTTCGTGTCAGCATGCTTATATCAATTTAATATTCAACTTTCAAAATAAAATCATCACTTGCAAATGTCATTAGCTTTTTTATTAAACCAAAAATATTTGCTTTTTGGTTCACTGTCTAAAATGCATTTTAAAACAGGGTTAGGTCCTTAATAATTTATACTTAAATTGTTTTTCTATCACTGGAGCTCATTTGATCAACCCAGAGTGTTTTTATAAAATTGTACTGTAAGAAAAATTGTTCTAATCTATTCTGTATGCACTTTTATTGCCAAGTAATTATAATGGCACTCCATGCAGTCATGCCGGCCATGTGACCTTGGAGATGTCTATGGACAATGTTGGCTCTTCAGCTTAGAAATGGAGATGAGCACCACCTTCCTAGAGTCAGACATGACTAGACTTAATGTCAAGGGGAAACTTTTACCTTTTAATCATACCAAAAGGATTTATTCTTCACAAGCATTGCTTAGACAAACCCAATTCATTCCTCTGGTTTATGTCTACTTTATCTAGCTTTGCTGGGATAAAAATCTTTTTTAACAAAACTCAAAATTGTTATTTTTTATCATTCACAGTGCCAAAACTATGTGGTTATTTCTTAATATTTCTTCTTGCTATAGCCACTGTCTTTGGGTATATTTGTATGCAGATATATTTATATGGCCACATAAATATGTATTATTTTGTTTCATAGATATGATATGCCTCAAGTCTGGGTCCACCTCAGCCTATAGCTAGTCCTCCTTCTATATTACCATCTTTTTGACAACTTGTTTCATGCCTATTGTACTCTTCTTTTCACACATAATAGACAAAATGAGTAATAAAAATCAGGAAATGTTTTGTTGTACTCTGCAAAGGGTATACTTCAAAATTACAACTGCAGAATTCAAAAGACTTTGCCTGCAACGACACCGAAATCCTTCACAATACTCTATTGCAGTGGTTCCCAACCTGTGGCTCGTGGACCACCAGTGGTCCCCAAGAACAAAAATATGGTCTCACCATTACTACACTGTTGCCGCGAAACGACGCAGCAAAGAGAGTGACTGGTCTCGTGAAATCCTCTTATAGTACCAAGGCAACAGGGATGTGAGGAGAGAGGCTAACTACCCATGAAAGATTACTACAACCAAATCAGCTCTAGATTATTAAATATGGTTTTCTGTGGGTGAGCATCATCATCATCAACATCTTTAATTACTTATTAATCGCCCTTCATCCGAGATGCTCTAGGCGATTTACATAGCAGAAATTATACAGGATAAAGCACAAAACAAATAACCAAACCAAATCTAAAATTGACCAAAAACTGATTCACAATCCTTTTGGTACTATTGTTGGAGAGTGGTCCCTGGTTAAAGTGGTCCCTGTTCAAAAAAAGGTTGGGAACCACTGCTCAATTTGAGCAGCTCATGCTATGTAAATGAGCCATTTTTTAATAAAATATTTCCAACATATTTTATAATTCCTGCTCAGGAAAGGTGTAAAAGGGCAAGGAAGAGGTTCAGTACCTTATAATTCCAAGTCAGAGTAGAAACAGATAAACAGTGGGTTGTTGTAGGTTTTTCCAGGCTATATGGCCATGTCCTGGAGGCAATTTTTCTCCTGACGTTTCGCCTGCATCTATGGCAAGCATCCTCAGAGGTAGTGAGATCTGATAAACATTTCAGTCTCAAAAACTCTGAAATCATAAGGCTCTTCTTCAGCCACATAAACATATCCCATGGAATGGAGGTTCAATCTGACATAGTTCCCTATCTTGTGGAGTTAATTTCCAGAAATATTTTTATTTTATCTTCTGAACAGAACTTTATTTGAAATGCATATAGTGACTGAATTACTTGTCTTCCTGTCCACTCTTTCACATAGAGTTTTGCTTAACATAAACCTCTGTTTTAATGGCAAAACCTTATAATTCAAAGTGTTGGTGGAGGCTCCTTCTTTGGAAGCTTTTAAACAGAGGCTGGATGGCCATCTGTCCGGGGTACTTTGAATGCGATTTTCCTGCTTCTTGGCAGGAGGTTGGACTGGATGGCCCATGAGGTCTCTTCCAACTCAAGGATTCTATGAAAGGGGACTCTATGGAGGCCATGAATTACAAAGTGAACTATGCAAGCAGATTTCAGGAGATGAAAAGGAAAACATTCTTACAGCAAGTTAAATACATGAACTTCAGTAACTAGAGGGGTGATGTGCTTATTTCATTTCTTTTTACCCACCATAGTACTTTAAGATGCTTTCTCAATCTATATAAATAAAAATGTAATGTTCATTTCTGGGATTCTCCCACTTGGGCTCCACGTCCCCCTTTCACGCCCCCCTCCCCCCAAAAGCCTTTAAAAACCCTTACAAACTGTCCCAGAGGAAGGAGGGGAAAGAAAGAGAAAGGAGAGAAGAAAGGAAGAAAAGGATTGGTGAAGAGAAGAGAAGATTATGAATGTTAGGAAAGGTAGAAGGAAAGAAAGAGGAATGAAGGGAAATGAGGCAGGTATGGGAGAGGAAAGGAAGGGAAGAGGCAGGGAAGGAACAAAGAAAGAAAGGGGGAAACTGGTGAAGGGAAGAGAAGACTATAGCATCAGAGAGTCCTAGAGTTGGGAGACACCTGGTGGACCATCCAGGCCAACCCCTTTCTGTGAAGAAGCAGGAAAATCACATTCAAAGCACCCCCAACAGATGGCCACCCAGCCTCTGTTTCAAAGAGGCTTTTTTGAGTGTTTTGGTCAGCATGAATATAACTTAAAAGCCTTGCAGCTTCAGTGGCTGCTTCTCATTACTTTACTTTCCATACCACCTTGCACCTTAACAGCCTGGCTTCTACTAGCCAGCGGGAAACCTTTGGTGGGAGGAGTTCCCTACCCCAGATTGCTTCATGTCTGCAAATCCTGTTTTCTGAGGGCCACAGCAATGTGTGGCCGGGTACAGCTAGTGCATACATAAGAAGCAAACTACTAGCAAATCTTGTTTGTTTCCTATGCAATTATTGAGAAAACATCTTAAATTACTATGTTGGCTTTAAAAATGAAATTGGTAAGCAAAGTTATGAGAGCCAGGATGGTTTATGTGCTGGACCACAACTCTGGAAACCAGGGTTCATATTCTCGCTGGACAATAGAGACCCACTGGGTGATCTTGGAAAAGTCACACTCGCTCAGAGGAAGGTGAAGGCAAACTTCCTCTGAATGAACTTTGCAAAGAAAACTTAGTGGAATATTCTCCTTAGGGTCATCATAAGTTGGGAATGACTGGATGGCACACAACAACCAGCACAGTTAGAAAAACCAATAGGTATGTAAACTGATAAATTATCACCTTAAATCATATTTTTTCACGTTTATTCTAGTAAACTAGCATATTACCTTGCCTTGAATCTGTTTTTCTAGGAAATTCAGCAAGATAACATGTTGGTAAAGGGTATGAGGAAAACATTGGCCAAGGATATGGATCATCACCCTAAAGTGAAGCAACCAAGAATAAAAGCAGCTTTTATAATATACTGCTAATTTGTTCATTTAATTCCATCATTCAATTCAATGATTTCTAAGTTTTCTATATTATTTTCAAACCAAACATATACCATTTCACATCATATCTCAGTGCTGTCATTAAAAAGATACAAAAGAGTTACAAATGCTAGTTGGCAGCTTAGCCAGCTGACTTAATCGTCTTTAATTAAACATTCCAGATTATATATATTATAAATATACCATATACTTTTCAACCATGTTTATACACGATTTAACTGGCAGTTCCCTACTGACCACTTACACCTCATTGCTAAGTAATCTATAGATAAGAACAGCATATAATCAAATTAGATATTTCACAAATATTGCAAAAAAAGAGAGGCTTAAATCAATAAAATTAAAGAATGGTAATGAATTCAAAAAAGTTATCTACACAAACATATAAACACATAGTATATACAAGAAGTGCACACTATTTTGATATAAACTAATGCACTGATGACTAGCAGTATCAAATTGCTCAATGCTTTCAAGCTGCTCAAAAGAGGTAGCCAGTAGAAGTTTTAAAATGTCATTATTTCACAATGACAGCAGTTATCCCCTGAGAGACTAGCTATGAAGAATATTTGTAACTCTGAATTCTCAACCTTATGCAGTATTCGGGGAGGCAAAATCCGTTCTGTTGGTCCCCCAACATGATTTATTCTAACCAGAATATGGTTCCTTTCTACTGATAAGCCATCAATTATGAAGTCTCTGCCAAAAAAAGCAAAATTAAAAGTGTTAGGGAAAAATGCTACAAATCAAGACGTACAATGTTGAAGAGGCAGACTATTTACAAGGCACTTCAAGCCCAGTTATTCACAGGGAACTGGGATCTCAGTTTCGAGCAAAATATCCAAGTTGTTCTGGCACTGGATCAACAAGAACTAAAAGCTTAAAGGAAGTTCCATACTGGCATACATCAGTTAACAAATCCTCTAAAAGAGAAGTTTATTTTTACAAAAATGTTTTTGGGGGGCTTTTTTCTTTGTCCTTTGTCTACCTGATAATTTTTGTACCACAAGTACTGGGAAGATGGTGAAAGTGGTTCAGTATCAGACTGCAGAAGTATGTCTGCAATAAACAAGGCATTTAAGCAGTGGTTCCCAACTTTTGGGCCTCTAGGTGTTTTGAACTTCAACTGTCAGAAATCCCAGCCAGCTTGTCATGAATAACTTTTCAATATTTTTAAAGCATAGGTTCTTTTTATTGCGATTTCCAGTGTGAGAGGGTACATCAGATTACAGAAAAACATTTGGACAAAGAATGACATCGGATATACAGACATACAGATTTTACGCAATTACATTGAATTTACAATTACACTGGTTAACTAACAAATAAAAGGGAATTACATTTTCACTCAGCATTCACACCACATGTACATGCATTCATCCTCATGCATCCAAATATTACCATATTCTTTTCTTCCTCCTTGGAGAAGCAGTCTGCCAACACATAGCTCCAAAACTTCCATAACACGAAAACTTCAAAATGCTGAAATGCCAAAACCTCTTTCCCTAAGAACAATGCCAAGGACCAGATCTGTTTTCCATGCAGCAGAACCTGACTCCCTACACAAAATCTAAAACTCCAAAAGCACACTTCTTCCTCTTTCCTTGGGAATGAAGCCCCAAAGTGACCACAATCATGCTTTCCCATAGCATATCTGCCACTCTCCGAATACACCATCTCTGTCCTTCCCATTTATTTATTTATATTATTTCTATTCCGCCCATTTCAGCCCGAAGGCATGGAGCAGGAACGGGTAAACCAGACTCCTCAGGTCTGTCACACTTTGAGAATTATTAGATTGAGTCTTTTATAGGAATATTCTACTGATGTAGTCCCAAAGTTGTAAATTAATCCTAGACATCTTCCATCCTGGATCCATCTCAGTTTCCTGGCCAGATGTTGATTCTTGATTGGTGTTGATCTTATGTTGACTTCTTTCTTAACATTGTAAACATTTCTGTTATCACTGTTCCAGTTCTTATCAGAGTTTACTTTTCAGTTCTTATTAGCAACTTTTAATCACAGTCCAGCAAGAAGTTAGTCATTGCAGGCCTTAATATTATACTGGTGTTTCCAAAATTATTAGTTTTATCCATACATCCTTCCATTCAACTCATTCATAGCCACATATATTAAATCCACATTTATCAAATCTCCATATAAAGTTTTTGTGACAAGATTATCAGCTTTTACGAACTGTGTGAGTTGAAGTCCAAAACACCTGGAAGCCCAAAAGTTGAGAACCACTGCATTAAAGTTTAAACTGGGAAAGAATTAGATGTTGTTCTGGCCAATCTTCTTGGAGCTGTGTGGCTGCCTATAGTAGGGAAGTTGAGCAACAACTGCTTCCAGAGTCTCCTATTGTGTGTGGGTCAATAACAGAAACAGGGAGAAAAGGGGACAGCGGCTACCAGCTACCCTCAAGCATGTTCTTTAAAAACATAGAACTAGAAATTAAACTTCCAAAATAGAAATGAAAGCTGGTGAAAGAAAAAGCTAGCCCTGGATATACTGTGGAATAATTTTTCAGGTGATCTGTAGAAGGTTTGAAATGTTTTTGTTTCCTTACACTAGACCCCTCTGACCAGGTTGATTAATTTCACATGTGTACCCTTTCAGTTATAGATAAAATGTTTGCTGAAATACATTGTACTTCTTCTTTTCTTGTGGTGCAGGAACCTATCCCTACTTTTGTATATTATTTCTGCCTCTAGTACCTATTTTTTGTTAAAGAAATAACTCCTAGGGACACATCTACTTCATTAACTGAGGTATACCGGTATGAGCAATCCTTTGTTTAGCCTTATTTTGTCATTAACTATGCTCACAGATGGCATTCCCAATGTAATTGCTTAATTGGCCAGCATTATGGTTTCTGATTGTATTAAAACAATCTAAAAGCAGTATACAAAGTAGGCCCCAGTAAGTGGATGATGGTTAACTAATAATATCACTAGAGATATAGAAATATGTTTCTATTCCTGGAATCTGAAGATGACATAGCCAAAAACAGGTCTAACATTTGATACATCAAAATGTATGTTGACCAGTGTATCAGTGCTTACCGAGATGTTTCAGAAATATTGATAGCATTGTCTTTTTGTGCATCTAAGAGCACTTCCGATATCTTATACTGAGATTCGAAAAGTAGCTGTGTATCTAGATCACAGCACAGCACATTCAATAACCTGAGAAATGTAACATATTAATATTAAAATCTTGGAAATCCAGAAATGCAGTGTGAGAAATGTAAGATTCCAGCGTGATTTTAAAACTACTACAGTAAAATAAATAAGCCATAAAATCATTCGTATTTAGAATGAATTTAAGCACAAATACATTACTAACACATTTTAAATAGACACTGAACAGGTAGGTAGAAGCATCACATTGTTATATGACTTTATACCAAGTCTTACTTTTAGCCCATACAGCCTGGTATTGTCTATTCTGAATAGCAGCACTGCAAAAAGGTCTCATTACCTGAGACCTTTTTACATGGAGATGTCAAATGATGCTCCAGCATGACATAGCATTCTCAATAGCTACCAACAGTGACTAGGGGCAATGCAGTAATAAATATTTGAGTCCAAGCAGTGAATTCATGAGCTTTAATGTTTTATTCATAAAATTATTCTTCATTATCTTAAGGATAAGTATTCATTTTGTACTATTTCAGGGCATGATAAAGACAGATTACTAAAAATCAATACTGAGACTTTTAACACTTTCCTAAGAATTTATGGAACAAAAAAGGCCTTCAAATCTTTATTACTTACAACATTTCATTATAAAACAGTCTTAGCATGAAAAGCTTATTATGAATTAATTATAAGCAATCAGAGAGGGGAAAAACAATATTATGATGCATTCAGAAATTAGTATGACATTAAAAATCATAGAATAATGCTCTTTTAGCTATGGAATGTCTTTGATAGTTTAGATTGCACATTAAAAGGTAAAGGAATCCATTGTTTCAAAAATTAAAAGATTTTAAGCCTCTAGTCCACTTACATTTTATAGAAATGTAGCTCTTGAAGTGACCTTAAGAATCTTAATTTACTCCTTATGATCATCTAAAACAAATGGTCATCTAACTTCTGCTTAGAAATATCAAAGAAAAGATATTCTGCCAACTTTGGAACTAGTCTAATTTCCCTCCTGACCAGTATTCATTGTCAGGAAGTTCTTTATAATATTTAATCAGAACTACAGATGGGAAGGCCTGGAAAAAAACCTAGAAAAATTGGGGGAGAACAGTTTTCCCTCCATTTCTTTCCACAGCTATTTCTCCAGAAAAATAGAAAGGTTTGTAGAATATGTTCTTTTCCAATAATAAATAATTATCTGACAGGGTATTCAAACTATAAAACATGAAGACTTTAATTAAATATTTTTGTTTCCTTTTGTTTCCAGGTCTTACCATCTCTAGTCATAATCCCCTTTCTTGAAAACTGAACCCAATAATGTTATGTCACCCCCACTCCAGGAGATAGGGTGGGTTATAAATAAAGTATGATAATGATGATAATTATTATTATCAATACTTGTGTAAAGTTATTAGCCTGCCCTTTAGATTCAGCTCTCTGCTTTCTTTAATATTTCACTTCCTAACCACCAGTAGAGGTCACTTCTCCTAGTTCCCAAAAGTTAGTTTTTTATATCCATTTATCTGGGAATGTAGCAAAGCATGAGGCTCCTCAGGATGGCCCACACTCTCACGGAGAGTTAGTTTTTAGTGAACTTTGTACTAAAGGGTACATAAATATTTGTCTGACTTTTTTTTTCTATCGAAGAGGATTTCTTGCAACTATACACCTAGGTTTTGCTTTTTAACTTACCAGAGCATCCTGTTTATTTTTAGTCTCTTTATATCACAAGCTCACGTATTGCACTCATCCTGTTCTCTATAGCAACAGAAAACAAGCTTGCTCCTTCTTCAACCTGACAACTCTTCAGATAATTGAAGATAGCTACCATATCACCTCTCTAACTTTTCCAGGTTAACATATCCATCTCCCTCAATAATTAATCACAGCGTTTGGTTTCGAGATTTTTTGCCATTTTGATTTCCCTCCTTTGGACACATTGATATCCTTAAATCTGTAGTTCCCAGAACTATACAGAGTTCTCCAGAGGTCTAACCAAAGCGGAAGTGATGTCATTATTTCATTAATCTGGATAATACAGTGGATGAAGTCAAGAATTGCATAAGTTTTTGTTTTGCATTTACATTATTGACTTACTTTTGTTGTCAACTAAGTCCCCTAAGTTCTTTTTATGCAGACTTGTCTCATGCCAGTAACCAGCCAAAGCCACCAACAGTAGCATCTAGCTCACATTTAACTTGCTCATCTGCAAGAATATGTTTAGCAAGCTCACATAAAGCCTTTTAAAATTCAAACTACACAATATCCACAGGATTTCCCTGGGCTGTTTTCTGTATGAATCTATATGAGCTCTTAATGATTAGTCTATCATGACCTTTAAAAATGTTTAGTGGCTCTTAGCAACCCCAGCATTTCCCATAAATGCTCTACTTAATTATCTGTTCTAGAAGTATTCCCAGTATCAACATAAAGACAGCCTGTACTTTCCTCTCCCCCCCCCCCTTTTTTTTAAAAGCTATGGACAATATTTGTCAGCCCCAAATCTGCTTAGTCTATATGAATTCTCCAGCCTACTACTATAAATTCAGGTACTTCATTGAATAGATTAAAGCATCTAGATGACCTTCAACCACCTCTTTTCCAATTCTGGGTAACAGCCCTCTCAGTGAATCATTTATTATATTTTTCCATCTTAAGCCCCTGTCTTTATTGGAGAAATACAGAGGCAAAGTAGGAGTAGAATAGTTTCATTTTCTCTTTATTAAGCATTAGCATCTTCTCATCTTTTCCACACGGTATATGTACTGCTTCTTTGTGCTTCTGCTTGAACCTAGCTGATACTCCTCTTTTAATTTTTGTCAGAGTTATCAGAGTTGTCAGAGTTATCAATACTAAATGTGTTTACATTATTGTACTACAAGGCTGTGGGTGTGTAAAAGTACATCTTATTCAAATGCTACCTGTCACATATTGTCTTAAGTCTGTCATTAGAAATGCTACATGCCAATTACTAGTTATTTTAAATGACCTATTAATTGCTTCTAAAGGTATGACAATGTAACTACCTTGAATTGATAGTATCAATACATGGGGGAAACTGGAATTTTAAAAGTCTCATTCTCCAAACAAAAATGTGAACGACTGTGACTACATGCACTAATTTAGAATACAGTTAAAGGTAATTAACTGAATATTAAGCAAAGTTTGGATAACATAAAACCATCCCAAACACCTAGAAAGAGAATGTAATTATTCTAAAATAAAGATCATAAAGTATCAAACTGCTCAATTCTCTCCCTTCTTGTTTTTCTGTTGTGCTTTACAACAGACTTTTTCTTTTATTTTCACTAAGCACACACAGGCTGGAATCCTCTTCCAGTAAAACAGAATGCCCCACCAGCATTGTTATACCATACTGTCTGACACGTGCAAACTGTCCTCAGAATCAAAAACCTATGGGAGCCACAGCTTTGGGAAAAAATGTTATTTTTCAACAAATTAGTTACCAAGCCACTACTACAATAGCATACATGCTCTGAGAACACCTCAGTATCAGTCATTTAAGTAATATATAGTTTAAATACTTGCCTCTGTCAGGGGACTCAGAGTCAGTACTAATGTAGTAGATGCTTGGATTCCTTGAATACTTCAGTCTGAAGGCCACAAGATTGTCTACCAATCCCTAGCCTTCTATAAACTAGAGACATCTGGAAACACTGGAGGCCAGCGAGATGTGGTTCTACTTTCACTTCTCCATTCTTACATTACTAAGGTGTTGCCAAGGTGCATACTCTTATGAATATCCCTCATTTCAGCAGCCTTGATAACTGCCATCATTTTTTCTCAGAGCTATAGCAATGTCAATGTGATCTGAAAAAGGAGCTCAGCGGAACCCTATTTTTCAAGTAGTGCTCTTTCCCAAGGGAAGCTATGAACACCAACTGGAAATAAACAAAAAAATAACTGTTGTTTTTTTAAAACAAAACCTAGTCTTGACAGGTACTAAGTTTACCAAAAGTGAATAATGGTTTTAATCCTGATAATGCATTTTCAAAGGAGAGAATCCAATCTAAATTCCTTGTGCAGTAACAGCAAGACTTGTGGCACTTGAAGTGCAAATCAAAAGCTTAAATTAAACCAAGGCTTGTCATTATGTTCAGGAATAAGGACACATACAACCAAATGAACATGGGAACATGATGACTTTAGTTTCTTTGGAAGAAGCTATACATTTAGTTTCTTTGGGAGAAGCTATACATTCACGTGAGTATTAACCATTGCAGCTGCTGAGAACTGGTGCAGGAGTGGATTGTGCGTGGTGGTGGAATGAACTACAAAAAAGTAGCAAAAGCATATGGACTGACTGGAAAAGAGACTCATCCTAGCTGTCCATAGACTACATTCTGAAAGCATCTATCCATTAGATGGAGCCTTGTTAAACCAGGCACAGGATATGGAAAACCTAGGCATTCATAAGATTCAAAATCCCTCACTGTCAATTTTTTGTGAGAAAAATCATGACTGAACATGAAAATCTATGACATCCTGGTTTCTTCTCCACCAATGCTGAAGGATAAAGGGGTTATACTTGCTTGACACAACCATTAAATCTCAGATAAGGTTGGCTACAAGAAGACTTACTGAAGGAAGAAGAAAAGAACTATAAAAGAACTATACATTTTACTGTATAGTTTTATGTGCCTAAATTCCCCTGCATTGTTGCTTCCTGTCCGTCTCACTTGCAGATGTCTACGCATCCATCCACACTTTAAAGGCTTTATGAGAGAGCCAAATAATCAACACTGGTGAATAAAAGTATCAAGAAATTATGGCAACTGTTTTAGTGAATCCGAAACCTAAGCATCTTACCTCAGTCCAAAGATATGAGACTGCTCATAATTGAATAATGAATGAATTTTAGCTTCTGTGTTCACAATTATAAGTCTGTCAATAATATCCTGAAATATACAAAAATATTAATTTATGACCAACACTTAAAATAAAGACTGTTATTAAACAATTCTCATTAAGACAGTAAAGTGAGTGCATAGTTGATTCACAATCTGAATGTACATTACATTTGGATTCTATTATTAAATTTCATCACAACTGGGTTTTATACTGACAAAAAAATTAATTAACTACCCTGGGTTATTGTAGGTTTTTCGGGCTATATGACCATGTTCTAGAACATGGCCATATAGCCCGAAAAACCTACAACAACCCAGTGATTCCAGCCATGAAAGCCTTCGACAATACAATCAACTACACTGTTTTTTGTGAATTTTTCATTTTATTAAGTCATAGTCTTTAATCTAATACAAAATATGCACACTTAATTCTTTAAATAGTTATTTTCCATTACTTGGTAAAATAAATCTCACAGCCCATCTACTTTTAGATCTGTGTGAATATTGGGGGGAAAGAGTCAATAATAAGAGAATAGCATCCCCATAAAAAATGTCAGCTCTTAACTGAAAGGCTAATATTTTCTGAAACAATACAATTTATCCAGCTCTATTAATGCAAAAGAACCAGGCAACTATAAAAACGGACATTAGTCAATGCCAATGTTATAACTGTACTTTTATGCCAGTTTACATGCAAAGTATTTTGAAGCATTATATATCTAACAAAGTATGCAACAGAGACAGCTCAGTCACCCATATAGTAGCCATGTGTAGTTTCCATCCCAGTGGAGCTCACTCCAAAACCCCTCTTGGAGGGATATCCAACACTACATTGTTTATGTTTAAAAATAGTGGTATTTCTCAGTTTCCATAGTAGCAATAAGTGAACTTCGCCATGACAAGAATGAAGCAATACACTCATTGGCAGGATCATATAAGTGAGTAGAATCTTTCATTGTTCAGTTGTCTGGCTGAAGCTTCTGACTGAAGCACCCACTGGCATCAATGAACGACTCTCAACCCTCCGAATTAACCTTGCCAAAAACCAACAGGTAACCATCATAAGTGCCTATGCACCAACACTAGATGCTAATGAAGACATCAAGGAAAGATTTTACTGTCAACTGGACACTGTCCTATCAGAGATCAGGTCCACGATGGCTATCAAGATCGCCCCCAAACGCAGACTCCAAGGAAGAAAGACAAGGCGCAAAAAAGAACACCCAAGCCCTTCAGGAGCCCTCCAAATGAGCCCTTCTCCAAGCAGCACTCAAGGACCATTCACCCATAGAACACCCTGAAAATGTTGAGGAGCATTGGAACAAACTGAAGACCTCCATCATCACCACCTGCGAAGAAACTATTGGATATCAAACCAAGAAACATCAAGATTGGTTTGACGAAAATGACAACAAGATGCAACAGCTAATTCACAAGAAAAGGAAAGGATTCCAAACATGCCAGAGAGACGTCAACAGTGCTGCTAAGAAAAAGATCTATGCCAGTGCAAAAGCTGAAGTCCAAAGAAGGACCAGAGAACTTAAGAACATCTGGTGGACAAAGAAGGCTGAAGAAATCCAACACCTGGCAGATACCCATGATGCTCAGGCATTTTTCAAATCCACAAAGGTCATATATGGAACCATGGCATACACCCTCTACGCTCATCAGATGGAACCAAACTTCTGAAGAACAAAAAAATCAATTGCACTATGTTAGAAAGAACACTACCAAAGCCTCCAGTGTGGCCAAAGGTTCTCTCACAAATCCCGCAACAACAAACCAGGAATGAGCTTGCAGCAATTCCTAGTTTGGAAGAAGTCAGCAATGCTATCAGCCAACAAAAAATAATAACAAAGGCAGAGGACCTGATGGGATCCCTGCTGACATCTTTAAAGAGGGAGGACCTGAGCTAACATAACAAGTCCACCAGCTCATTGAAAAAGTGTGGGTGACTGAAAAAATCCCAGCAGATTTCAAGGATGCCACCATCCCTTTTCAAAAAGGGGGAAAGAACAGACTGTGGAAACTATAAAGGTATCTCACTTCTAATCTCCGCTAGGAAAATCCTTGCAAGAATCCTTGCAAGTTGCCTTTTACCTCTCTCGGAAGACACCCACCCTGAATCCCAGAACGGTTTCCTCCCCTTCAGAGGAACAGTGGATATGATCTTCACTGCATGACAACTCCAAGAAAAATGCAGGGAACAAAATCAACCTCTCTACATGGCATTCATTGACCTTGCAAAGGCATTCGACACAGTGAATCGCAGTGCTCTTTGGACCATCCTCCAAAAAATCGGGTGCCCTAACAAATTTGTGAAAATTTTGTGGGTCCTCCATGATGACATGATGGCGGACAGCAATGGCTCCCAAAGTGACTAATTTAAGGTGGAATCAGGTGTCAAACAGGAATGTGTTATTGCCCGAACCTTATTTTCCATCTTCACTGCTATGATAATTCATCTTGTTGATGGGAAGCTTCCCACCGGAGTGGAAATCACCTATTGGACAGATGGCAAGCTATTTAACTTCAGCACACTGAAAGCCAAAACCCATGTTACAACAACATCTGCTATTGAACTCCAATATGCTGATGACAACGTCATCTGGGTGCATTCAGAATAAGACCTACAAGCCACTCTAAACACCTTCACAGAAGCACATGAGAAGCTCGGCCTGTCAGTGAACATTGAGAAAACCAAAGTGCTCTTCCAGCAGTCACCAAGCAATCCCTCTCCAATGCCAGAAATACAGCTTAATGGTGTAAAATTAGAAAATTGACCATTTCGCTATCTTGGCAGTCACCTCTCCACCAAAGTCAACAATGACACTGAAATACAACACCACCTGAGCTCTGCGAATGCAGCATTTTTCCAAATGAAGCACAGAGTGTTTGAGGACCGGGATATCTGTAGGGATATCAAGGTGCTTGTTTATAAAGCTATCGTCCTCCCAACACTGCTATATGCCTGCGAAACATGGACTATCTACAGACGTCACATGCAAATCCTGGAACAAATCCATCAGTTTTGCCTCCGAAAAATCCTGCAAATCTCCTGGGAAGGCAGGTAGACAATTGTCCGCGTGCTGGAAGAAGCAAAGACCACCAGCACTGAAGCGATGGTACTCCACCAGCCACGTTGTCCGAAAGCCTGACCACTAAAGCAGCTGCTATACTCCGAACTCAAGAATGGGAAATGGAATGCTGGAGGACAGGAAAAGAGATTTAAAGATGGGCTCAAAGCCAACCTTAAAAACTGTGGAATAGATACAGAGAATTGGGAAGCCCTGGCCCTTGAGCACTCTAGCTGGAGGTCAGCTGTGACCAGCAGTGCTGTAGAATTTGAAGAGGCACGAATGGAGGGTGAAAGAGAGAAACATGCCAAGAGGAAGACGCATCAAGCCAACCCAGATCAGGACCACCTTCCACCTAGAAACCGATGCCCTCACTGCAGAAGAACATACAGGTCAAGAAAAGGGCTCCACAGCCACCCACCGCTAGTACACCGAACTTGGAAGACAATCTTACTTGGTCAATGAGGGATTGCCTAAGTAAGTAAGTAAGTAAGTAAGTAAGTAAGTAAAGTAAGGGACTATATTCTTCCCCTTTCTTTTATCATCTCTTGAGATTTGCTAAGCATGTTTTGGCAGTTCTAAAGGTCCATATGCCTAATTCCTTTAATGACTATTCAAACATCCATGTAATATATTGTCGTAGTATTCCCATTTTTAATCCTTTAATACAGAGATAGCTGTTATGGCTTTTTTAAAAAAAATTCTGCTTCTGGAGAAAAATAAAAAGACAAAAAATCTCTTAACAAAAACAACTCTTATAAGAGAAATTTATGTTTTGTCCTATTGGAATCTGCATAGTAACTCAATGTTTTAACACTCCCTCTCTCACACAGTCATTTCGAGATGGTTGTCAGTTTAAGGTGGAATGTTCCAATTATGATCCTCCTCTCTCCTTGAGATTGTGTAGCTCATTCATACAGCACAGTGGTACACTACACAGAGAATGCCCCAATATTGAAGACAGCTGGAAAAATTGCTTGAAATCCTAGGGTTACCTCTAGTCAATGAAAGTGCTGACAATATCCAGCTTAGACGCACTAAAAGTTCAATCCAATACAGGGCAGATTCCTTTGTTATTGACCTCTTCAGCATGTCTTCCTTTGTGTTGGTATCTTCCTCACTACAACAGCAGATTGTACAACTGCTGGAAGAGCACTTTGGTTTTCTCAATGTTCACTGACAGGCCGAGCTTCTCATGTGCTTCTGTGAAGGTGTTTAGAGTGGCTTGTAGGTCTTATTCTGAATGCACCCAGATGACGTTGTCATCAGTAATGAGAATTGGAATGGTATAAGGACGAGGAGACTGGCCTACGATTCTACTAAGAGACGAAGCGGATTTTTATGTAGTTTGTATTTGTTGTATTGTGTGTATCGTGGATATTGGCTTTTGTAACTGTCTTTTTACGTGTACTGTACACCGCCATGAGTCGCCCGTAAGGGCTGAGAATGGCGGTTAATAAGTGCATCAAATAAATAAATAAAATAAATAAATTTATGGGACCTCTTTCCTGTGGGATGTATGTAGCTTTCTACATCTCACATTTTGACACCTGCTTTAAAACAATTTTCTTACACCATATACCTCTGTTTAGTTGAGTATTCCTGCTTGTTTTTATGGGTTGTTTTATTTTCTTAGTCTAATTTTCTTTTAATTATTTTTTTTTAGTTCTCACAGAAATAGGAAAACAGCTGTCACACTGCTTTACTTTTTTTTTTGTCTGATCAAAATATTTTAGCTACTCTCTTGTGCTGCAGTGTCTGGCCTTAACAATGAGCTAAATGAAGGAACACAAACTAAGGCTAGAAGAGAGAGATGTTTAGAGGGGCGGGGCATGAGACCTGAGAATGATGTGATCAGAAATCAACACCTATCATTTACATGCATGCACATTCTTTACTGGAAAGAAGGGATCACCTCACAGGATTTTAAAGACTGAAACATGAGTGAAAACTGAACATCCTTGCAGATGTGGCATAATGTAGGTCCCAAGAGACCTTACACAGGAGAGGTCACAGTGAAGAATTCTAGAAATCTCAGTTCTACAGTACTTGAAGGGTGGCATCATTCCAGCATTTGGTCTAAAATACAAGCTATTCTCACTTACAAAGGCATAACCAAAACACAGGGACTCCAAGCAGAGTTCTACTGTATACCTCCTTAGACCAATGGTGGAAGGTTGGAGAGGCACGGTGGCAGGCTTTTGCACAAATACCACTTTTACATTATGTAAGAAAATATTTTATTATCTTCAGAGTGATTGTTTTCACAACAGGTGTTCAATAAAACATAATAAAACAGGTTCTTCAAATTATTTGCAAACAATTTTCTTATGACCCAAACCAAAACAGAATCACATAGAGTACTCTGTACATACATTGCCCAAGTGCTGCAGCAAGTAAAAACAATTCTGAAAACATGTTCAGAAACTAAGACTGTAATAAGTTTCCTTCAGACGTGACAAAATAATAATCCCACATAAATGTTTTAAAGGGAAAAAAGCTACTTACAATAATATCTGTAGGAACTTCACGAAGAGAATATTCCAGTTTATTTGGTATCTCTTGATTACCAATCAACTCATAAACAGCAGGATAGGATAACAATTTTATCAGAGCTAGAAAAGACTAAAACAAGAAACACAATGATGAGACAAACAAGATGCTATACATTAAGTCTCACCTTTTGCTAGACTAACACTTGCCAGTGTAGGAGTTTTCAAGCTTTTAAATTGTGTAGAGTGAAAAAATAAATATTCCTCTTCAGCACAACACATCTAGTCAATGGTGACATATGCAAAGTGACTACTGTACAACAGGCAAACAAAAATGTCCAGTGCAAAGGTCTGGGATGAGCATGGCCTACAATTACTGGAGTAAATGCAACATCAACTAGCTGAGCAGAGCAAGGTAGCAGTCAGACTGATGTGAGGAAAAATAATGACATCTGTAACTTCAGGAATTACATCTGAGGGTGTCACAGTTCAAATGTTGCTGCCTTTAGCCACTCCCTGTACTGTGGCATGATGTGAACAGGTGCTGGGGAGGCAATGCACTTGTTGGCTGAACAGGGAGAGCACAGAGACAAGACTGTCTGCAAGAAACTACATTATAGATACAAGAGCCTTAATTCCTCCATCCCTTCCTTCCCACTTTGGGACGAGGACATTTTTTAAGAGCTATAATAAAACAGTCTTCTCACTGAGCAAAAGAGATAAGCTCTTTTGTCTCAGCATGAAGACTATATTAAAGAATCACACACTCTTATAACCAACACAGAAACTAGTCAAATAAAAACCAACAAATAATGTTACTGTTGCATTACAGAAAGATAGCAAGATTTACAATAAAATGCAGGAAACAATCTGACACTTCACAAAAGAACATCTACTTCATTATACAGAATGAGAAACCATTTATTGTTCTGGCTTTTTTGGGGAAAAAATGCAGATGTTAGTACATGTGTATTTATTTAAGGCATTTCTGTATCACCTCCCAGTCCACAAAAGCTCCTCAAATGATAAACAAATAAAAGCAATTAAAACCACACAAGTAGCATTTGCATTTCACATTATGTCCTCCAGCTGAGATAATAAAACTGATTGATTGAGACATATTCAAAGAAGTTGAAGACAAAGAAATGTGACTTAATGTAACTCTCCTAGAAATGATTTTTCTTGTGTTCTTTAAGCCACTAAACTTCAAAAAACTAATTTAATATGACCCTCAGATGCTGTCTTCATACTGTTTTTGAAACATTAAACTATTGTATAATACCTAAAATAGACATTGCAAGCTACATGAAATTTAAATAAATAAATGAATATCCCTAGGGAATATGCAAAACAAAGTTCAAATCACCTTCTGACAGCTGCGGTCAATAGGATCTACAGGTGTTGATCTGGGGTGAGTGACTCGGATGTCATCTCTTCCACATTCCAAAACACCCCATAGTTCAGTAACAAGTGCTTTTACAAATCCTAGGAAGGAAATAGTTTGTTCATACCAATGTGCTCTAGAGCAGAAGCCTTAAAATAATATGTTGGAACAATACTTTATCTGATTCCCAATAACTCAGAATATATTTAATTAAAAAGACTAAGCTAATGCTAATATGTAAATGTAATATGTAATTGTCACACCAGAAGCAACTCTCAGTTTCTCAAGCTGCTTCTGACATGATAAAAATAAATCAATTGTTGGATAGAGCAACCAACTCTTTTCCACAGCATCTTTCCGTAAGAGGCATCAATACCATTTATTTTTCTCCAATACTTTTCAAAATAGAGTGGAGTATAGGCAACTGTACATCCAGAGTGGTTTTGCTTATTGCTGCATGTGCACTTTCCTTCTGAGAGAATTAAAATGTTCTTACACAGAAGGTTTCATTCTCTGAAAGCCACAGTGTTCCTTGTGGCCTTCAATAAATATATTAATTGAAGTTGTGTGTTCAGAATTAACACAACAAATATTTATTTAAATCTCTATTGTCCCAAGATGACCACCAAGAAGTTTAAGAAATAATAACAATGATGTATAATTGGACATCATCGGTACTTGGTAAGAAATACATATATCATACCCAGGAAATACCGTCCTTTTATATTAACATCATGTATGCAGATGTTGTGAAATTTGGACATTTACAGGAAACAAAGATGCAGCTCTATTTTGCTAGACAGGGCATGTTTACAGTTTATATGCAAAAAGGTAACTCAAGAGTTAACAACAACAACAACAACAACAACAACAAAAACAAATTAAATGAATGAGTCCTTCTCTCATGACAATTCCCTTAATTTTTAAACAAATTATCCTTTCCCAAAAGCCAGGAAAGGAGGAAGGAGTTTGCCTTGCATAAGGAAAGAAGGAAGTAAGGAAAGATAGAGGAAGAATCTAAATTCAGGAGGGAATAATAAGTTATAATTTGGCACTATGTTTGAATTGCCCCCACCAATGGCACAGAAACAAAGAGGAGACAATGAAACGAAAACAGGCTGAAATTAATCTGCAAACAGATAGCTGAAGAAAAAGGTCTAATTTATAGTATTTGTTTATATTTGTAATAATTTACAGTAAGATCAATCAACAACCATAGACTACCTGAACTCTGTAGAGCTATAGCACCAGGAGCAGTTGCAGCCACTTGTGAAAGAATTAATCCGTAGCCAAACTTTTCACATCCACTGACCTGGTATAAACACATAATAGCCAACGGTAATTTCCAAGATCTCGAAATGCATCAGGTCAACAGGCGAATCACAATTTATATGAAAAATTAACAGTAGTTTTCTTTAAACAGAATATCTTGTTTAAATTTAGAGCAGCTAGGTATAATTAGACCCTAAATAATCTCTACTTATTAGCTTGTGGTGTGGGCGATAAAGATTCTTCAGGCAATGCAAGCAATGAAAGCAATACTTTCTGACTTAATATTTGCATTAGCAAATGGTTATATCTACCTGGAGATTTTTTGTGAACCTGTTAAACATGTATGTCACACATTCATTGACAGTTCCTGTGTTTTGCAGCAGCAATAGCCCTTTTGGTGTAGAAGCAAAATTAAGCAAATCATCCAACAGTGTCTCTTCCAATAAAATGCTGGAAACAAAACAACCACATAAACCAATCATGAGAAGCAACAAAAGCAAAAAATCAACCTACCACAACTGAAGGGGGGGAAACAGTTTCCAAGATTCAATGTTTGGGGTTGTCCCCTCTTCCACTATTAAGATTTCTTATTATATCAAAGACATATGCTGTTGTAGTAGCATATAACATACGTTATGAATATTTCAGTTCAGTATTGCCTGTGTTGCCCAGTTAACCATATGGTTGCAATTAATTCATTTAGCAAATCTGTATGTGTACATTCTATCTCAAATACAGTTCTACCTCTGAAGGCATAAAGTTTCTTTCTTAGATGCAGCATATTTGATAACTGTCTCAGCATGAAGACATTCTATCTCAAATACAGTTCTACCTCTGAAGGCATAAAGTTTCTTTCTTAGATGCAGCATATTTGATAACTGTATTGAAAGATAGATACAGAATATCCCATGTCTTTCGGATGAAATGACAAAACAACATGGAAAGCAGCTTAGGATGTACTGAAACTGTCTCCTTATATCCTTCAATAAGACCTGGATTAAAGGCATCAGACTTAAGAAACTACCCTTTTTGGGATCATTTGCCCTCAAGACCCTTTCAATGAAGCTGAGTTAAAGACTTATTTCAATGGGAGCCACACCACCTGAAGGAGCATTAGCCATTCTTTAAAAAAGATATAAACTACCTCCTCATTTTATGGTGGCTTTAGAAATGGTAAGATACTTCTACCCCACATTTGAAGCTTGCCTCGTGTGACAGGCACCATCAGTGGCAGTTTCTTAAGTGTGTAAAAATAAACTATTCATTGCTATTTGAGTAAAAAAAGCAAGCCAAGTCATATAGAGCTGCAAGCAGCACTGAGAATTTAGATCACCGATCTGGACTGCTTGCAACAGAAAAATGGATGCCCAGCTTGGGTAAAAGACAGCCCTAACTGGCACTATAGAATTAATACAGTTTGACGTTACTTTAACTGTCAAGGCTCAATGCTAAAGAATTGTGAGAGTTGTAGTTTTACAAGGTCTTTAGCGGTCTCTACTACAAAGTGCTGGTACCTTGCCAAACTACAACTCACAAGATTCCCTGAAGTTTAAATTTTAACCAAAGTATTTACAGCATTTCTTGTATATGTGAAAAGATATTGAACGTACACTTTATATTTTAATAATGAATATTTTTTTAAATATCTATAAACAATTATCTGTATTTCTTTTTAGAAGCCATCATTTTAAACAAGATATTAAAAACAAACTGCTATCTTGTAGCATGACATCAAATACTCATTTTGTAAGTAGATGCTGACATTACAAAAACCAAAAGGAATAATGGTTTATAAAATAATTTAACTAACATAGGAGTGGGGAGAACACTCAGACCCTTTCTCCAGGTGAATGTTTGTTTTATATATACACGTGTGCACACTCACACACAAATGCACTGGGTTTACAGTATCCAGTGGGGTTTGGTTTCAGAATCTTAGGATCCCAAAATCTATGAAGGCTCAAGTTGGAACAGTGTAGCTCTCCAGATGGGGAACACTGTTGAGACCTGCAGTCCAATGGCACCTGGATGTTCAACATAATTCCCATCTCTGAACTTGTCAAACCAATATTTTATTGTGATCCCCTATTTAGAAAAATAACTTTAAAAAGGTTTGTCAAATATAATTCTTAAATTGTAAATGTTATATAAATCCTATAATGTTTTAAGCTCATGAAAGATAGATACATAGATCAACATGTCTTTAAGCACAAGATAGACAGACAGATAGATAGATCAACATGACGGAAGTTCTTACAAGTTCTGTGACTTTTGGCTTACTGATGCAGCACAATCTGCTCCAGTTACAGGAGTAGGAATTCTCTCTGAAATCAAGCTGGTCTGTCAAAGTGTAAAACAAAGAGAAGAAACTGACTAATCACAATATCAACAAGGTATTATGAACTACAAAGATCAATGAAAAGCTTTAGAGTAGGGCTTCTTATGGGCAAGGCAAAGTTATTAACGGAAAGAGTAACTATTACCAGAAGCATTCTGGAAACATGTAATAGCCATGTAGCACTGGACTTTTATGATGAACTAGCTGTGCCCTGCCACGCGTTGCTGTGGCCAACCTTCCCTCTTTCTCTCCTTATTTCCCTCCTTCCTTCCTTCCCATCTTCCTTCTCCTCTTCCTTCTCTATCTCTTTCCTTCCTTCCCCCTTTTTCTTTCTCTTCTGCTCTTTTCTTCCTTCTCTCTTTCCTTCTTTCTTTTCCTCCCTCTTTCTCTATATCTTCCCCCTTCCTTCACTCCCTCTTTCCTTCCTTCATTCCCTTTTTTCTTTCCTTCTCTCCTTCCTTCCTTCCCCTTTTTCTTTCCCTCCCTCTCTCTCATTTCTTCCTTCTCTACCTCTTTCCTTCCTTCCCCCTTTTTCTTTCTCTTCTGCTGTCTCTCTTTTCTTTCCTTCCATCTTTCCTTTTCTTCTTCCTTCTTTCTCTTACTTTCCTTCCTTCCCCCTTTTTCTTTACCTCCCTTTCTCTTTCTTCCTTCTTTCCGTCCTTCCCGTCTTTCCTTCTCTTCTTCCTTCTTGGGGCTTGGAGGGGGCGAAGTTTGGAGGGGAAGAGGAGGAGGGGGAGGGGATAGATTTGGACAGGGCGGGAAGGGGCGGGGCTTGGAGGGGGCGGTTTGGAGGGGAAGAAGAAGGAGGGGAGGAGGGATAGATTTGGACAGGGCGGGAAGGGGCGGGGCTTGGAGGGGGCGGGGTTTGGAGGGGAAGAAGGAGGGGTAGGAGGGATAGATTGGACAGGGCAGGAAGGGGCGGGGCTTGGAGGGGGCGGGGTTTGGAGGAGTAGGAGGGGGAGGAGGAAAAATTGGGGAAGAAGAAGGAGGTGGTAAGATTGGGGCGTATTGTGGCGTGTGTGTGTGTGTTGCGGGGAAGGGAGGGGGTGTATGTTACCGGCGTGTGTGTGTGTGTTGCGGGGAAGGGAGGGGGTGTGTTACCGGCGGGAAGGGGGCGGGGGGGGAGGTGTGTGGGCGGGAAGGGGGCGGGGAAAAGTTGTGTGGTGCGTGTGTGGGCAGTTTGCCCCAATTCTGTCGTTGGTGGGGTTCAGGATGCTATTTGAGTGTTGGTGAACTGTGTATCCCAGTGACTACAACTCCCAAATGTCAAGGTCTATTTCCCCCAAACTCCATCTGTGTTTATTTTTGGCCGTATTGAATGCTTGTGCCGAGTTTGGTCCGGATCCATCATTGTGTGTGTGGGCAAAAAGGCAAGAAACAAGGAGGGGCGGATGGAGGTAAGGCGGAAGAGCCGAGAGGGAAGAGCGAGTTTCGCCTCAGTAGCTTTCCAAGCGCGCTCTTGACGGGCAGTGCCTCGGAGCGCTCTTCCCGTCGGCTGGAGCTTTTTTTCCTGGGAAGGGAAGGCTGCGGCACTCGGCGGTGGCGCTGCTGCTTCCCGAGCATGGGCAAAAGGTGAAGTTGCGTTGCGTGTTGGTCGGGAAGGGGGCGGGGGGAATGGAGGGAGGAAAGTGCGAAGGGTGCGTTGGCCGTTCGGCCATGTGTGCGCACGCGCTGGGGACTTTGTGGCAGTGCACATGCTCAGTTGTTTTGCCGTTTTATCTGTGTGTTGTTGTGTTGTTTTTAATTTTGAGTACATTAGTTTGTACCGAGTGGGTTGTCCTAGGGGCATGGCTATTTTGGTTCAGTTTCGTTGGGGGGTTGTGGAGTTTTGCTGTCCCGTTGAACTCTCCTAACAGATTTATATATATAGATGAAAACTAACTAATGCTTACCTACCAACTATACACATTCTTGCAAGCTTCCAGTATCTTTTTATGGCTCTTTCACACACAAATTAGCAAGTTCCTATTCACACATCGTAACAGCATTATTTTCTCATTGTTTGTGCACTCTATATGTGTCCATTTTTAAAGTATCTGCTCCCTTTCCTTCTAGGGAGGACAAATTCAACTAATAATTGGCCATGCCTTAATAAAATTGTATCATGCATTTAATGAGCCATTTCTACCATGAAGTTTATACCACAGCTCTATTTAAGTATGTACCCTGCCATTCATATGGGTGCAGATACACCCTTTATATAATTTCTATCCACAGTCTTTGATACTGCAAGGGTGAGGGTACCTTTTTCCAAGCCTCAGCAATAGATCGATGCAAACGATAAAGTTGCAACACCTCTAATCCTTCACAGGTACTGTACATCTGGCGGCACACAAAGATGAAAGCGCCTTTGAGGACTGGCAACATCTCAGAACCAGACAAAACAGAAATGTCTTCATCAAGAAGCTTCTTTGTAAACTGAACGATTGTATGAGCACCCCTATGGCTACAAACAATGCAACAATTCAAAAAAATGATGTTTTATTGACTTGGCAGAACTGTTATAAAGAAATACATTTGCAATTAGTAACTGAAATGTAAACATATTTTCTATTCACACATTGTGTTGAGACCTATTGCCCTCTGCCTAGAGCGTCTTCTTTAAGAGTTAAGTGTGTGCAAACAAAGAAAACTTCTCCTCCTTCCCACAGAGCATTTATTACCTTCTTTATTGTGGTAAACCATCCACAGCCAAACTACACGTGGCTGTGCTTAGTTTTCAGGTGGCATTCTCTCTTTTAGAAAAAAGAGCCACAACAAAGGAAGCACAATCTGGATTCTGGCACCCACAAAACTAAGGAGATTAAAATTTAAATCTCCTCTAAGGGCATCTTTCTACCAAAAATTGCTTCTTCAATATGCTACTACCTCAGGATTATAATTGTATCCCAGATCTTTTTTCAGTGGTGAAAAAAGAAAAAAAAGGTTTAATGAAATAGGGAATTTCATAAAAGATATATATATTGCAGGAAGAAAATAAACAACAGGCCAGAGATTGGAGTGGCATGGATAGGATCCATGGATAGGCAGCATTTTGTTTCAGTATATCATCTACAGTGCTCCAACTGTATATGTATGTGTATGTGTGTATATATATATATATATATATATATATGTGTGTGTGTGTGTGTGTGTGTGTGTGTGTGTGTGTGTTTACACTTTCACTACAAACTAAGTAAAAGATAAGCTATATAGGCTCTTTCTAGGGTTTCATGCAGAAGCTCATATTCTGTTTTTAAAAGGTTTTCTTGTGAGGGGGGATTATTTTGTGCAAAAATTATGCTCATTTTTTAAAAAAACTGTAAAGTTAGTAATCTTTGGAGTAAATCTTTGGATTGGAAAGGCTTTCAGAAACTGCAAGAATGTGTTTCAGGGCAGCATATATTTCCTTATGTCCTTCTTCATAAACCAAGCAATTAACTTGGTTAACTTGTACAAACTGCTACAATGAACTATTGCTTGTCCAGAAATAGGGTAACATAATGTCAAACCACAGTTAAGTGTCAACATGCAAGTAAAAGCTTCCTACTTTTGACTATGACATGAGAAGGAAATTAGTCCAGAAAAGACTGAGGTCCAGATGCACAACAATTAACCATTGTTTATAACTACATCAAAATGCAGTTAATGTACTCATACAATAACTTAAGAAAGTGAAATATAACCATTGGCACAGTTTAATAGCAAAAGCCTAAGGGCTAGTTCAAGTATTGCATGTTTCTTTTGTTAAGTGAAATTATGTCTTCCTGTCTAATAGTGTCTTAGATTGGAAGACACTAATTCCTATCATTATATCTTCTCCAAGAGCTTCCCAATAAAATGAAAGCCAACAGTATTTAAAAGGATATTTTCTTACCTAGTAACCTCCACAGTAGGATTCTCTCCTCCATAAAGAAGCAGTGAAAGACCATCATCTACAGCAGCAATTCTTGCTAAAATATCAGCTACATGTATCAGAGTGGTTTCTGAACAATTCAGATGCACCTGCACATATTTAAAAATGTTTGAATACAAGTGTTTTGTGATCCTATCATCCACAAGCCTTGTGTAATAAATGGCAAATTAATACAACTATGGAATTGCTACACTGTAATCCATATTATATGACTAGAGCAGTCAATTTTTGACATGGGCTGTATCTGCAGGTTCCCAAAGTAGAAAGTCTATATATTAGGCATCCCCAAGTGTGATATAGGAGGTACTTTTGTGCTGATTTTATTCCTGCCTGGTAGTTCCTTGTACTCCACCAAAATCTATTCTAGAGGGTTGGGGAGCCTTCTACAAGAAGAGGACGAAGATGGAAAGCGAATAAGCAAAACTAGCTCATCCCAAGGAAATTGCATTCTTCTCAAAGGAACCAGAATCTCTGCTGGAACCAATTCAATCCTGAGAAAAGCTAAAAACAAAAATCAGGGGCCAATATGTTCCATTTCACTTTACATTGCAAAGATTATTTAAAAGTTGGGTGATTTTGATAACTGTGTGTGACTGCAAATACTTGTTTGAAGTTTATCAAAAGCTTAATACCAATTCCCCAAATGTTTTCTTTTCTTGGAAAGGCACAGTCACAGGTAACCTTCATCTCTGGACATAAAATATACCTAGAGTAGGCAACTCTAGGGAGATTAGGAGCCAATTAATGATACGGATGTTCTGGCACTTAGATAATTGTGGAGATCACAACAGTACATTTTTATCCAAACGTAAATTTCAAATCAATATATAAGGCACTTCATATTTTTTACTTTCAGGGTTTGCAGATGGTTTGAGTGGGGCTGTTTTGCTATTTTGGAACATAGAAAGGTCTGAAAAATCAAGCCATCAAATTCTGGTAATTTGAAGTCACTTAAATGGATTTTTTGACTCCTGGCCCCGAATTTTAACAATTTTGTGGTACTGGGGCCAGGGAGAGGGAACCTGACTGTTGCAAATAGGAGGATGGGGAACATGTAGTCCACAGTAACACTTTTCCTATCCCAGTTTCAACATGAATCAGAACAAAATCATTCAAAATAGTTTTTACCCTAAATTTTAACTGTATTTACTTGAAAAAATACAACAAACCTCTGTTCCATTCAGTAAATAATGAATTGGTTGAAGAAGTGCTTCCATCACTGTATTAGTATACAGACATTCAGTTGCACATTCTTTGCGATCACAAAGAATTCTTAACACATCAGTAATGAGGCCAGCTGGAGAATAATTGCCTGACAAATTTTTAAAAAATACTTATTTTAAAAAAACAACAACCAGTGAACAACTGTGTGATAGATGCACCAGACAAATAAAAACAAAGAAAACAAAGTTATCCTCCCCTTATCAAACCTTACCTTAAATCCCAGCCAGATGTCAAGAGCCATTCTATCTTCATAATACATACATAATTATCTAACTGTCTACTGACACAGAGCAAATGAATAAACATGAAAGAGGGGAACCGCATATTCACAGAGCAATGAATAATAGAGCAAATAAAAAGGACAATGTTACCTGAATGCGCAGTAAGAGTCTTTGGGCAATTTGGCGAGCAACAGATAAGACGAGTAAATAATATGACAAGGTCCGTCAGAGACATTAAATCTAGGAAAATCAGAATGGAGAAAAACATTGAAAATGCATGCTATTCATATTTTAATCAGCAACAATACAAAAACAGTATTTATGAATGTGTTTAAGTTAAACTGCTCTTGCTTCCTGCAGCTTCACAGAGTGAAATCATTATTTTAATCACCAATATGTAATTACTAGTGTAGAGTTATTCCTTTAAAAAAAGGTTTTGGCAGGTTGATGGTTTCAGTGCTACACATAATTTAACCCAAGGGTTTTGTATGTTTGTTTTTGTCTATATGCCAATGTATTATAGCCTCTTCAACAGAATGGTGTCACAACAGAACAAATTATCACTGGGACATAATGCCACCTAGATATAATTTTAATGAGGATTCACTTGCATTTGTAGAAATAACTGAAGAACATTTTTGCTCACTCCATCACTGTAAATTTCTTTTTCTATTTTCAGTTTTAACTGTACCCTAATCATTGCTTTACCTCTCTCTATTTTTTTAAAAAAAACTCTTTGGCCCTCCATTGATTAAATTGTCTTGTTCTGCACTCTACATTAAAAATTCTAAGATACTAAAAGCTTCTGTTGCAGAATAATAACAACAACAACTCTATTTTTGTACCCCACCTCCATCTCCCTGAAGGGCTTACACATGGCACAAAGTGCCTACAACATACATAAAATAAAATAAATAAACAATACAATACAATACAAGATAAACCAGTAGTATATAAAACAACAATTTGACTCAAATGGCACACAATAACCTATAGTGTCAACTGTCGTAAAAACATGGCCCACTGTAAACAAGAAGAAGGGAAAGAGATAGTGCAAGTTGTAGTTAAGGAACAAGGACATGGGATGAGAGCGTTGTGCAGAAGGCCTATTTATGGCAAAATGTAACTGTATTCCTTGAAAAAGGTTTGATATTTTGTTAACTTCATAAACAGTTCATCTGCTTTTCATAGGTTACTTATATTTCTATTTCCATATCAACCCATGTAGAGGTGCTAGCTACTCAAGCTCAAGTATGAAGCCTTTGGATTATGGTCATGTTCATGTGTCCAAGCTTTTGGATTTAATTCTAGTTTAAGTGCAACAAACCTTGGATTACAAGGTGATTTTTGGAATTCCTGTTCACAGTTGGCCATTGCTTTTTGTTAAACTTCTGGAAATCTAGCTCATGGATGTATTTTGAAACTGTTGTTATATTAGAAACTCTTTTCTTAATAAACTTATTATTCTTGTTCATCTATGTGGTGTTTGGGTGAAAAAAGAATCAAGTAGACGACTGGGCTGCAGCAATTATGTCCAAAAGAGGTCACTTTGTGAGCCTGAATAACCTGAGATCTCAGCTTTGTCACTGTAAGAGATATCAGTTTTGTAACAGGCCATTCTGCTTTTTTTCCTCATTAAAGGATGGGACTTCTTTGCAAAACAACAGCAATAGAGCATCTGTATTAAAAGCAATAAAGTAATTAAGTGTCCCTTTAATATGTTCAATATTATATGTTTTTAATTTTCTGTGCATTGCTATAGACCTGTCAGTTCTTCATGATTATTTTTTTTCTGAGAGATTCATTAAAAAAACAGAAATAAAACTTCATTAATGAGGTCCTAATATAAATCTGACACTTATTATTATTATTTTTATCATCACCAACATCATCATCTTTGACATGTCTTTACCTTTTCTGTTTTTTAGCTGAATAGGAAACAGTTTTCTGCCTTGTTTATATATCAACAATCTGCCTAACAGGCTCAGGGAATGAACAAAATAAATATACTGCAATTCTTTTCCAGTGTAGAAATTCTTCTGTTTACTACCTTTAAAAACAATAAAACAATTGATGTAAGAAACATTTTCTCTTGTTCAGTCCATGTAAGTTACAGTTCCAATAATTGATCTCTCCTATGATAGCAAGAATAACATTTTAACATTGAAGTGAAAACAGCACATCTAATGCAACTCCTAATAAAACTGTTTTAACTTTCACAAAAACAGACAATTTGAAAAATAATTCAGATATTTTAATAATTCTAACAACTTGTTTATAACAGTCGTTATCGCAGCACAGCTAGACATTTAATTTAGAAACCATCACTAATAAAACTTTTGAAATGATGGGATATAGCATCATGTCTTTGGCATAAAGGTCAGAGGGGATTTTATACCCTCTTTCTGCTCCACCTAGTTCTTATTTAATTTTGACCTGGTGAACAGTTGTATTTGTATATGTAATAATGGGAATTTATAGAGAGATACTAAAATACTGCTTACCATCATGAGAAATGGAAAAATAATTAACCATGCCAGTTCCATCAACAGTTGATTCACAAGCTTCCAAGTAGGAAGCACATTGCTCAACAGATGCAATAATCTGAAGAACAAAATGTTAAACCATATCAAACTTTGCAGCAATATCTGGTCCTGTATATATCTTCTAGAATAAAGAAATAAGCTTCCCTTTACTTTACTTAGCTCTTTAGCAAATCTGAATCTGCACTAGCTTTGTCTCTTTAATATAAATTTCGTATTGAGAGGAATGTACACAAGTGGAAAGATTTATTTGTTTACTGTATTTATATACTGCCTTTCCCACTCCTGGGGGACTCAAGGTGGTTTACAACATACTAATGGCAAAAATTCAATGCCAACATTAAGTACACAAAGAAATCATAATAACAGATTACTACATATAACTATGAACTTAAAAATCAATTAAAACCATTAAACATAAGACATACATAAAAAGTATAATATCACCTAGTATAAACATTAAAATCCCATGATAAAGATGATAAAGTGGCAGATTGCTATTAAAATCTGTTAAGAAGTATAAAATAACATTGTATGGACAAAAAATTAATGAGCCTTATTAACTTCAATAATAAAAGTCCCACAATCATATATCTCTAAAAACAAATTTGTAGTGAATGAAATAAATTCTAAAAATACTATCTAGTCTAGAATATCACATCAAAGCTGAAACCGAAAGTCACAGACTTACCAAAGATTTATATTTCTTTTCAAGAAGCCTTAACACCACTGTTCTGCTGTAATAAGCATGCTAAAATTCCAAAACAAAAACAAAGATCCATATTTGCTTTCCTCTGAACAAAAATACTGAATTTACCAAATTCTTTTTAAATTACTATAAAAGATACTCAAATAGTATATCATAAATTGAATCCAAATCATACAAAGCAACATTATGCTTTAAGAAGTCAGACTAATACATACTGCACAATTATAGACTCCAGATTATGAAACCATAAATATTTAGAATTTAGATTTTTGTTCTCATTACAATGAAGGCAAAATCATGTCAATGAACTCAGTGGAACATTCAGTCAGTGAGTGTGCTCATTTTAAAGCAAAAAGTTATTCCAAATATTGCTTGAATTCTCCAGAAAATCTACTTGCATTTTCTTCCATTTTTCTTTCTTGTTACAACTAAGAAAAACTCAACCTATCCTTCAACTCCTACAATTGTGGGAGTTGAAGTCCAAAACACCTGGAGGGCGAAGTTTGCCCATGCCTGCTCTACAGTGTTCTGAAAATGTTTGTTTGTATTTTTCCTCACACTCTCCCATCTTGAAATAAAAACCATTGGAAGCTGTCTAATCAGCTAGTGTGCAATGCTAGGAGGATCCACGACACGCTTTTGGTCTTTGCTTTAAAGCTTCATTAACGATCGACACATGACCCTCTCAGCACAACATATTAAATCAGGGCTCACAAAAACAGAATTACTAAAAGGAAAGGATCACACCTCCCAGCTAAATCTGTCCTTCAGCAGCATAAACAATGGGGAGACTACATACTCATACTCAATGTGTTTGCATTGGAACTAACAGTAACAGTTCATGATAAACAAAAAAATGCATGTCGTGCCATATAGAATAACAGAGTTACAATGTACCCCAAGGGTCATCTAATCCAACTCCTGGTTAGAATTCACATCTAAAGTATCCCTGACGGATATTCTTTTTACAGCCCTGAAACAAAAGAACTCATCATTTCTAAGATAATCCATTCCACTTTTGAAGAGTTTTTGCTTTTAGAAAGTTCTTCCTAATTTTAATCAGAATCTCTTTTCTTGCCATACAAATCCAATGGTTAGATCAGGCCTGCACAACCAGTGGCCCTCCAGGTATTTTGGGCTGGATCTACACTGTCATATAATCCAGACTATCAAATCAGATGATCCAGTTTATATCAGATAATCTGGATATATGGATTTCAACTCCCAGAGTTCCTGATCATCAGACAAACTGGCTAGGATTTCTGGGAGTTGAGAATCCCGAATACGTGGAGAGCCACAGGTTGTGCAGGACTGGGTTTGATCAAACCTTTTGAAGTGGCAAACATCAAACTTCTTCCACCTTCTATGAGACAGTCCTTCAAATATTTGGAAAGAGCTATTGCCTTTCAATCTTCCATTATCCATGCTGAACATTTTCAATTTCCACAGCCATTCCTCACTGAGGTTGGTTTCTAAACCTTACCATTTTGGTCACTTCCCTCTTGATGCATTCCGCATTGTTACTTTCCTTCTTAAAATGAACATAATGCTCCTGCTGAGGTCTGACCACTTTAACTATTTGGAAGGTTCCAATAACTTTTCAGGGTTTCAGTGGATCGCTTTCCCCAATTATTTCTATTTCATGAAAATATTTGCAGGCTATGTGAAGTACTTCCAAACTTTTATGTAACTGTCCTAGTTCTATACTGCAGTACACTGACCGAGTAAGTAAAAACAGAGACCTAAGAGGATTAAGATGCAATGGAAGCAAAGAAATAACTTTAGAGAATAAAACAAGCTGAATAAAACAAAACATATACATTTTCTTACCATCCATTTTTTAAACCAGACAGCTTTGAGATCAACCAGTGCCAAGAAGTATACTGGATCCAAAGATTTTGGAGAAACAGCATGATCATGTTTTACTGAGAGAAGCGATAGGGTACTCTCCATTATTTCTTCCATGTATCTAATTCGGTTATAAAGAAAAGGGTATTAAAACTGCAATTATGAACCATTTATATTTCAAACTTGCAGTCATACAGAAATTTGCTAACCCTTTTGAGCAATTCCGCTGGGTTTTTTAAACTCACATTTTAAAAGCTGTATTTTAATGCCTAAATGTATGTTTTATTGACATTCTACTGGTTCTTTTAATGCTGGTCATTGACTGAAATAAAAATGTTATGTTCTGAGTATTTCTGAGATCACTACTAATAACATGGTAAATCTGGGAAATTAATGTGATTTTTTTCTCTAAACTTGACAGAAAGGAAGTCACATTTAAAAGACAATAAATACAACTGCAAAATTCAGAATGCAATATTGTGAATATGCTTTTTGGAAAAGGGAAAATTATTGTGGGATTCATGATTAATCCTATTCCCATTATATGATGTTTAACCAAAGGCCTTTCCATGTAGCACTATATCCCAGAATATCAAGGCAGAAAATCCCACCATATATGCCTTGAACTAAGTTATCTGAGTCCACACTGGCATAGATTCCAGTTCAAAGCAGATAATGTGAGATTTTATGCCTTGATATTCTGGAATATAGCGTTCTGGAGAAGGGCCCCAAGCCTCACAAAGGCTCATGACAGCTTAACACTGCAACTAGAAAAGGAAAGTATCACTAAATCAAAAGACAAATATTTAGGACACTATAATTTATGGTTTAGTCTAGATATTAATAATTTGTATTAATAATTTAACATGAAGAAATTGCAATAGTCAGAAAAAAACCAAAGAGAGTGATTGCAGAATTCTGATATACTTTTCTGGATGACGAATCCAAAAAGATGGAACTTCCCTCTGGTATTCATTTAGCAGACGTATCTATGAATAAAAGGGTGATAGAATGTTTTACTTTTATAAGGCCTAATAGAAACCACCTTAAATCAAGATGAGGTGGGATGCAAGAAAGCTATTCTGTACCTTTTTTAGTAAACGAATAACATCTGGGTTGCTTATGTCAACACCCATTGACAGAGTAGGAACATAATTATTCTCAGAGAGAAAGTATAGCTCCAAGTACTTTGCTGTAAAGAGAAAACAAAAGATTAATAACCCATTTGTTTAAGAAGCAATTGAATATTTATAAAAAAAATAAGTAAATTTAACAGACATACCTAAACTCGTATATAGTTCTCTTGTCATATTAAGAGAAGAGGAAGAAAACGTCTTGGCATAGAATTTCAAAACTTTGTCCTGTAAAAGAAATAATTAGAATTAATTTGTATAGTCTAACTTGCAGGATGGTGAGCGAATCCGAACAAGAATGGATATCCTAGGTTAATCTCATACTATACATAACATCAGAGACATTTTTAATCAATAACACACTTCATCTGAGGAGCTCAAAGTGATATGAATGTTTCTCTCTCACACAAAAATCTTATGAAGTAGGTTAGGCTGAGAAGGTATTATTGGATCTAGTGAGATTTGAATTTAAATACTGTACTATTTGGATCCCTGAAGCACAAGCATACCCCACACCCAACATGGCCTCTAGATTTTCTGATCTAAATATAGTATTTTCAAATGGCTAAAAATTTTGTGCCAGAAAAGAACACCAGAGTGAAAGGTCTTGTTTTACATACACATACACCTGCATATATATCAGACTTCATAGGGTGTAGAACAAATTGCAGTCATGCAGCGTTTCTCACAAACCCAGGAAATAACCAGTTTGCTGATACCAGCCATGACAATACATTCTTGCCAATTATGCCTCTAAATCCCTCATCAACATTATCAAAACAAAGCACAATTAAGGCAATTAAGAGATGAAAGTAGGTGAAAGGAGGACTTTATGACCCGCAAGGATGAGAAAGGGCCTTGAAGGGAGACTGAGAGCTCTGCAGGGAGGGAAGAGGAGGGCAGAAGCTACTGAAAAGGAATGCAAGCAAACCCAAGCTGCTGTCAATAGAGAACAAAGGACTGAACTTTGCATATGCTCAAGAAAAAGTTCTGACTATAAAACCAAACTACACATCTCAGCCATGTGGCACATTTCTTTCAGTTACCCAATAGCTTTGCTTCCCAAATTAAATCTATTGTATTTTAAATCTCCTCATCTCTAGAGTTTGATTGAAGTAGAGATACTACGGTTTTGGGGGCATCAAGCATCAACATTTTAGTTTAAAATATATGGAGGTCAGCAGGTGGAAGACAGCTGCAAGGAGACGTCTTAATTTTCCATTAGGAAATTAGTTACTTGAGGAAATGGACCAAAGAATACATATCTATTTTATGAAATACATTGCTCCACCTCTTTTCAAATTAATTGAGGATAACTTTAGGCATTTCTGACAAATATATAAAATGTTCACATATGTTTAAAATGCATATCCAGCACAAATTATATTTGTTTTCTTCATCAGGGATGGCAGAAAAAGTCAACAACAATAATTTCCTTACACTAAAATTTGAATCTGGGTCTGAAAGTGCTGTTGCAAGATGTTTACGTAAATTAGTCCAGCTCTCACAGTTTAAAATATCAGAGGGAGGTGCAGAGCACAATGTATGCATGGCTTCCTGGCGTACCTGCAAAACAAAGGATGAGATATGAGTGGAAAAAACAACACTGTAAAAATAAAGACTGTTTAAAGAAAAGATTATTGCCAATAAATAGCTCATCAGAAATGCATTCATGGACTTCTGATGCATGCACACATATGAAGAAAGAGTTGTTGAAGAATGCCCTTCTCTCATACTCTTCCTCGTGCAATTTTCTCTTTTCTTCTGAACAGCTCTGAATTCCATATTATATTTTGCCCACCTCCCTCTAAACCAAGAATTGATCTTCCCATCCTAGATCACTAGGCTCCAACTCCTCCCCTCATCATAATACCTAACAATTGCTCACCGGAGCAGCATACAGAAAGCATGTAAGCTCTCTGCTATGCCAGCTCCACTGGCTGCCGATCTGCTACCGAGCACAATTCAAAGTGCTGGTCTTAACCTTTAAAGACCTGAACAGTTCCAGCCCAGATTACCGGTCTGAATGTATCTCCCATTAAGAACCATCACAAAGTTTAAGATCAGCTGAAGAGACGCTGCTCTCAATCCCTCCAACATCGCAAACGTGACTGGTGGGGATGAGAGACAGGGTGGTGGCCCCTTGCCTGTGGAACGCTCTCCCCATGACATCAGATTGGCTATCTCTCTCCTGTCCTTTAGAAAGAAACTCAAAACCTAGTTATGTTGATGCTTGATGCCCCCAAACCAGTAGTATCGCTACTTCAATCAGACACTAGAGATGAGATTTAAAATACAATAGATTTATTTATCATTTGAACGATAGAGGCAGCAATCGAGAATAAGACTCAAGTGATATTAATAACAATGGACTGACCCGGACTCGGATTTGAAACATGCGTGATTTTAAACAAATGCCTTATTAATGTAATGTTTTAATGAACTGTTTTAAATGTATTTTATTAATGTGGATGGAACTGAATGAGTGCCTGTTGGGAAGCCACCCTTAGTCCACCCTCGGGGGTGAGAAGGACAGGGTACAAATGTATGAAATAAATTAATAAATAACAATACTTTTTTGCTTCTACTGCAGCAGCTGTGCAGAGTTGAATATACCTGCTTTTGCTGAAAATGCTTCTTTTGCTTTGTATTTTACATACTCGTATGCACATAACACACAGTGCAACAGACACCAAAAGAGCTTTTCATCGGTTAATAATCAGATGGGAATGCCTGTTTAGAGCAAGGTTGACAAGCTCAATCTAATATAAGACGAACTCCCAACCAGAGGGAATGCCACACATACTGAGGTTTTTCAGGGACCCATTCACACCACTACTTCTTGTGTACCTTGAAAATCTACTGCTAAAAATATACAATTCTCCTGACTACAGCTAAGAAGATTACTGTTCATGTAAAAGGCCACATGTACAAACCATGATATATCCACTTTTGTTGGTTTTAAAAGACATCATACAGTGAAAAGACATGCTGATGAAACCCTGCAGAAGACAAGACTGAGCGGGCTAAACAGACATAAGAATCTGTCTTTGTATAATATATATGCCCATATCAGAACAATTAGATATGGCATAAAGGAGAAAATGACAAGTTATTATATTTAGTAGTTGGAGGAGTCTCCAGGACTTTGGAGGGCAGTATTTCCTGCCACACTCCTCCTGTTCTCTCACTAAACTCCCCACCTTAATTTAAAAAAAGAAAAACAATCCTAGGACTTTGGGGAGCAATTTTGCTACATTTCTGCTCAGCCCACCCAGACTTCTGGTTTACTTCCTTGTTAAAGAAAGACCTCACCTAGGCTTGAAGTGGAGTGTGGGGAAATGTTCTATTCTAAAGCCTTTGACTGTGTGGATCATAATAAATTGTGGCAAGTTCTTGGTGGGATGGGCATACCAAGCCACCTTGTCTCTCCTGAGGAATCTGTACAAGGACCAAGTAGCAACAGTAAGAACTGACCACGGAACAACAGACTGGTTCAAGATTGGGAAAGGCGTACGGCAAGGCTGCATACTCTCACCCAACCTTTTTAACTTGTATGCAGAACACATCATGCGATGTGCGGGGCTTGATGAATGCAAAGCTGGGGTAAAAAATGCTGGAAGAAACATTAACAACCTCAGATATGCAGATGACACCACTCTGATGGCCGAAAGCGAGGAGGAGCCGAGGAGCCTTCTAATCAAGGTGAAAGAAGAAAGCACAAAAGCTGGGTTGCAGCTAAACATAAAAAAAAACAAGATTATGGCAACAAGAATGATTGACAACTGGAAAATAGAGGGAGAAAATGTGGAGGAAATACAGACTTTGTATTTCTAGGCGCAAAGATTACTGCAGATGCAGACTTTGCCCAAGAAATCAGAAGACGCTTACTTCTTGGGAGGATAGCAATGTCCAGTCTCGATAAAATAGTAAAGAGTAGAGACATCAGACTGGCAACAAAGATCTGCCTAGTCAAAGCCATGGTATTCACCTACGGATGTGAGAGCTGGACCTTAGGGAAGGCTGAGCGAAGGAAGATAGAAGCTTTTGAACTGTGGTGTTGGAGGAAAGTTCTGAGAGTGCCTTGGACTGCGAGAAGATCCAACCAGTCCATCCTCCAGGAAATAAAGCCCGGCTGCTCACTGGAGGGAAGGATACTAGAGACAAAGTTGAAGTACTTTGGCCACATCATGAGGAGACAGCAAAGCCTAGAGAAAACAATTATGCTGGGGAAAGTGGAAGGCAAAAGGAAGAGGGGCCGACCAAGGGCAAGATGGATGGATGGTATCCTTGAAGTGACTAGACTGACCTTGAAGGAGCTGGGGGTGGTGACGGCCGACAGGGAGTTCTGGCGTGGGCTGGTCCATGAGGTCACGAAGAGTCGGAGACGACTGAACGAATGAACAACAACACAAATCAGGAGCAATACAAAACAATTATATAGTTAAAATAGAGTTCAAAATATAAACATAAAGAGCTATTCTAAACACCATGTAAGAACACTATTTAAAAGAACAACACTTCGCCTATAATTTTTTCTTTCGTTTTTAAATATATATTTAAAATACTAGTTTTATCATGTTATTTACCTCTCCATAGTATATCCACTTTTATAACAGCAAATTTTGCCTTTCAGCATAAGAAATCTTACTGGGCTGGGGGCAGTTAACCCAAGCAACATAAAAATTAAGTGTAGGGAAAGCAGTTTTATTAAAAATGATTACTTCTTAGACTTACTTCCTTAGGTTGTGCGGGATCAAGCCTTTCTACAAGTAGTTGCAACTGTTCTTGATTCATGAATGTATAGCTCTGCAACACATTGTAAAATACTAATTAGATAAATCAGAACAATTAAAAGCTATGCTAACAAGTCACTACTAATATGGGGCTTATATTACATTATTATTTTAAATATTGAGGCAAAATTATCTCTTTATTTAGATAAGAATGTTTCAATTATAGTCTACCAACTGATTTGGCAGAAAATATTTATGTACATGAGATTTTGGAGAGACATATGATTCCTTCCAATAGCAATTCTAAATTTCTCATATTCATGCAAACTGCACTACCAACTTCTCAATGTGAAATTAATTTTTATTATTTGAGAAATGAATTACTGAGATGATGCTTAACATTTAAATATGATTCATATCCACAGCTCTGGGCAATCTCATTCATTCCCATAGTCGAAGTAGTCCTGTGCATATACACTCCATCTACATATAATGGAGTTTCGAACTGCATCATATGGTCAGTATCAACTACATTGAACTGCATTATATGAGTCTACAGTGATCATATAATACAGTTTCAAACTGCATTATATGACAGTGTACATAGGATCATAGTGGGTATATTCATATTAACAGACTTTTTGTCTGTTTGGTGCAACTGATGAAATGTTTTAAATTATGTGACAAGTCTCAAATACAGCTGCATGTACCTAGCTTTCAGTAACAATACAGATCCATAAAAATCAAAAGGCCTCTAGCCTGATCTAAATGGAATAGATTTTACTCATTGATTTTGCAGTTGCATTTCTAAAAAAAATACAGCTTCATGTCTAGAAGCAATGAACAGCAGCTGAAACAGCAAGCTGAAATCATGAAAACCATCGAGGGCACTCCATTAACTCCAATATATTTGGATATGACAGGTATTTTGCTGGAATAACTTAATGGTAGTAGGGGAAATGAGACTTAAACATGAAGGAGATTATGATTAAAAAACCGAAATTAGTTCCCACTATGTTCCACCAATTTTCCTCTTGCAGTGCCACAGTAACAAAAGCAAAGTAATTAAGTCAACTCAGAATTACAATGTAAATCAAACGATATCAACATAACAGATTCAGCCACATTTTTCTGTTCTTCTTGAAGTCTTGTTTTCCGGAATTTTTTCCTGCTAAAACATGAGAGCAGAACAGAACTATAAAAAGATGTTTATTTGGAGGCAGTGTAGAGCAGCTGTCTTCCAGACTTTCAACAACTAACATCTAGAAAATAAAATGGCAACAACCCCAACAGATTATTCTTAAGGTTGTAGCCCAAAAAATGAATGTTTTCAACTTCTGATCATAGCAATGCTACACATAGTTGGTATTATCACTCTCTAAGTGCATCTAGAATTAATACAGTTTGACACCATTTAACTCCATGGTTCAATGCTATGGAACCTGGGATTTGTAATTTGATGAGAAATTAGCACTCATTAGAAGAAAAGGCCAAAGCTCTTATAAAACAACAGCTCTTATAATTCCATAGCATTGTTCCATGCCAGTTAAAGTGATGTCAAACTTCATTAATTCTAGACTGTAGATGCACTGCCTGTTATCTGAAGCACAGCCAGTATGAAATATGTGACAAAGAACATAGGAGTGTTTACAACAGGAAAAGAGAACCACTGATAGAAGAACACAAATATGTCCATGGCAGTGTTTTAGGTTTTATCGGCAACAATGCTTCTTAGACTATCTTCTGTAGATGACTGTTTTTTGGCAAAAGAGAAAATGTGCCAGAGACCAGTGCATTTTATTCTCTTCACATACCAGCATTAGTCTGTGGACTGCCACTTTGGGTTGCATGGACCTACCAGATATGCAAAGATCTAACACATCATGTCACAGGAGCCTATCCCATGGAATTCCCACAATGCAGGATAACAACTATATATTGGTAAAATGATAGGTGACATCGCACAGGTGCTACTGTCACATGACTACATCACGTTGACAGTGTGAAGTCACACCTCTAGGTGGGAGGCATAAGTCTGCCCTCCCACTGTATTACTCCTCCCTTTATTTGTTTAAAGGTAAAAAAATTCCTGTCAGGGGGAGCAGAGATTGCCACCACAGAAGCACTCCTTTCGTGAGTTGTCCTGGGACCAAGGCACCATCAGGGGCTATTATTCAAGAGCTTTGTCTGTCAATAGGCCTTGACAACTTCATTGTGGGGAAGTGGCAGACTAGCAACAAGTATCACATGACATTGTGCAATTGGGCTGTCATTAGAGGTACCAATCCTGCTATTTTGCCTGTTTCCACCTCCTTATGGTAATCCCCTCTATTAGTCTTACACACACTTACCTTGTAAAACAACTCTTACCTGATTAAAGGAAGAATCGCTATCAGAACAGTTATCTGTATAGTAACTACTTTGTTGTTCTGTTTTGACTTTTCTGTGCATCTCCTTGTAGCGCATCTGATCTTCTTCAAACTTATTAATCAGAGATTCAACCACAACCATCATGACATTTTTCAGAGAGTGCATCATTTCTCTGTATCTTCAAAATGAATAAAAAGCATAAACTAAAATTCGTAAATTGCATTACACACAGAGTAACATCCTATACATATTAGCATGTAGACAAGGGGTTTGATTTTGTATTGCTCTGTTTTAGAAATTATGCTTTATGCCTGTAAGTAGGGGTGGGGAAATCATTAGTTGAATTAGCATTTCTGCATGGAAATGCCCATTTTGTGCCTCTCAACACTGCCAATGGAAGGGAGGATATGTCAAAAATCTACACATTTGTGAGGCTTGTAATGCATTTCAGAGGAAGAAACTGCACACTAAAAAGTATGTTTCAAAATTGAAAACATTTTAATTGGTCAAGAACAATTGTTGCATTCAGGCTCTGTTAGTTCATGTTGGCCCAACCGTTATCACTGACTTCACAACCAACCTACATGCCTTTGCAAACTTTGGTTGAATTTTTGTAAATCAATGCATATGTTTTACTGCTTAGGTTTTATGAAATTATATAAATTGTTTGAATATGTTCTGTTTAATTTATTGATGTTAGGTTATGGTGATATTTTCATATATGGGGTTATTTTGGATTACTTGTTAACATTTGTTTGTTTTATTGAGGCATTGAATGTTTGCCTTTTGTATGTTGGAATCCGCCCCGAGTCCCCTAGGGGAGATGGACAAAATATAAATAAAGGAATATTATTATTATTATTATTATTATTATTATTATTATTATGAATGTTACATGTTAAATAATACAAAATTACATAGACATTATGAACATTTTAAAGAAGATCTATACAATTTTTATGAGAAGGAGAACAGAGTCTTGTACCCTGACAGATGATGAGGAATGGAGAAAGATTGCTGGTGGAAGATTCAAGGTGAATAATAAGAGCAAGAAATTTTCACAGCCATATCTGTAATAGACAAAATTCTATATATTTCTAAACCTCCCTATGCTGATTACAAGATTAAAAATATTTTCCACACCTTCTTTCAGAATACACCGTGAAAGAAACTTATTACTTATACTGTACTTATATCTTAATCTTAGTGCAGCGTATCAAAAGTATCTCAAGGTGTTTCAGAATCCTAAACGTTGGGGTGGGGGGAGATTATATATATATATATATATATATATATATATATATATATATATATGAGACCTTGAATGATAGCCTCAAAATTGACACACAGTTATTCAATTTATATAAATAGCGTACTTACACAGCTGCTCAAATATTCATTTATTACAGCAATTAAGCATGATTAAATAACAAAGTTTTTCACAGTGACAGTTTTAATTTCCTCTTCGGAACAGAGCTACATATCACTGAAATTATTACTAAAATGTTCATATGATTGATCTCATCATTAGAGGTTCACTGAAAAATCCTACAAGGGGTCCCATTATTCCTTGTCTTTCATCTCATATAATCTAACTGCCTGAAGTTTATCCGTATGGTTGGATTAAAAATTAGCTTTTCCCCCCACATTTTTTTCATTGCAAATTCCTTGTTAATTGTCAAACAGAAATATTTGGGTTAGTGTTTACAGAGCACATTTGCTTTCTTCGCATTATTAGATAATAACATTTTATAATGAAGATCAAGTTTGCTGTCACTGCTGACAATTACAGACAACTCTAATCAAAAGTTGTCAATGTGCACAAATCCAAAGTAAGGACTCATCAGTTCTCTCAAGTGAATCCAACATCAAGGGCACACCTGTTACCTCATTCCCATGGTGCTTCCACTGATATTACATCAGATGGGTAATTGGGCTTAGCAGGAGTTTTACTTCAGAATAAAACACCTCTGGGAGCCTAGATTAATCCCTTTTAGAGTTACTTTTTCAGAGTAAGAGAAGACATGGAAAATTTTCAGCTGACAAAACCTTTCAAACAAGGTCTTCCCCTACATGTTTCTGTCAAATGTGCTACTCCTTGTACAGAATCTTTTGTAGTACTACTTGGATAGGGAAAATCCGAAAAAACAAAATAATGCAACAAGTACAAAAACCAAGTCCATTTTAGGAAATCTTGAAGGCATCACATTCATTCAAACTAGGCACTGTATATTTTAAATAGAATTCAAAAATATTCCTGAAATGCATTAAAGCTCCAAACTGCATTTTTATAGTTATGAAATGTAAGGCACAGACTTATATGACTTTGTCAACCAACATACATTCTGCCCATTGAACCATAGACTGTTTCTTTTTCAAATATGTAAATTTAAATAAGCAAGGAGTTATAAACAAACTCAAAGGAAAAACTACACTTTTAATATAAAAACGTAATGATAAAAAGAATTTGAGGGCAGTATGAAAAAAAATAAAAAAAATAAAAAGAGAAGCTGATCAAGTCATCTTCACCTCCCAAAGACTCCTGTAGTTTATATAAATATTTGTATTTACTCACTCTTTTGATTCTCGGGTCTTTTTAGTAACATGTTGTACAAGGGTGTCATAGCCAGATCCTTCACCCTGATTTTGTGCTGAAGTACGCTTCTCAGTTTCTTCTTCTATCACAGAGCCTAAATTTTTACTTATGTATTGTCTGAGGTATTTCACAAATTCATAACTGCAAGAAAAATGAAATTGCAACATATGTTTTATTTCTAAATGTTCTTTTGCAGCATATTCCACAACATTGCTGCAATACATTCTGTAAAAGCTTCATAAAAGATTAAGCAGATAAGAATTTGGGAGAATTTGGGGGGAGGAAACCGTCAGAGGTAAAGAACATTAGGGGCCCATTCAGACAGGGCCCAAACAGGCAAGCTTGCGCACTTTTGCCAGAGGTGTCCAAACAACATACCTGATAAAACTGAATTAATTAG